CTAATATTTAGTTGATAAGGGGGTTACCCTAGTGAAGGGTATTTGCAGGAGCACAAAGGAAACCAAAAGAAACTTTAGTGGCTATTGCAGTCGTCGTGGATAAAATGGAGGTAGAAGGACTTGAGAAAGGTGTTCCACTCACCATGGAGCTCCTTGTTGTGGCTATTGTAGTCGTACATTTACGCATTGTTAGCACATCATAAAACAAATCTCATGAATATTACGCAGTTTTATCTGCTTAATGCATTCCGAGTTGGTAGCGTAGCTATATTCTTGACTTGGCTGCGGGTTATTGCCAAAGTGAAATCCTCAATCCCGGTATCCTGGTATTCTTTCTCCGGAAAAAAAGGGTGAAAGGATGCCTCTGCTGTCCGTCGAGCGGTGCAGTCATGTGCAGGAATTAATTTTGCGATTACGCGTAATTACAGCCCGGAAAAAAGTCAACAAAGAAGGACGCCGCGTTGGCAGGAGCAAAACTTAATTGCGAGTAAGTGTTGCTTAATACTTATTATCTGCACTCGCGCCCCGCCCTCCCCGCCCCTTTTTGAGTGCGGGGCAGGGGGCGTGTCAGCGGCATTGCCGAAACTTAATTGTTAGCTTGCCGAAACTTTTCGACGCGATATTTAACCCTTTACTTTTTGTTGCTAATTAAAAAACTTTTGACGGATAAAGAAGCCAAAAAAAGGATGGAAAAATGAAAAGCGAAAGAGCGACATATATATATATTTATATGTACGCATAGCTATGCGTCGGTTGTTTACACAAAAGCAATCATACGCCACGTTGTACCGCCGAATAGCCCCGCCCACTTATCCTTATCCCGAGCAGTATCGTCACTGTCAACAATACGACATCAAGGCGGGATTCTGGGATTCTCGGGCTCCTCCAAAGCAAAGAGTTCTGACTGCTGACGTTGCGTTGAAGTTTCATTAATTAGATAAAACTTTCTGCCATTTCCCCCTACATTGTTAATGACGCCAGCGAACGAGCTGCAAATTATTTGCACACAACAAAAGTCAAAAAGTTGCGCTCGAGTTGAAGCTCGAAATGTTTGAAAAGAAGAAGTCAGCTATGATATGATGTGGCATAAAGCCAAGAAGGGGATTATTTTCGGGGGTAAAAGAAAACTTGGCTTACCTGGGGGCAAAATTTCTTTTTATTTCGCAAATAATGAAGAAAGTCCAGAAAATTAGGTTTCAATTAAAAACGAGCCAAAAGGGGTATTCAAATCCGACAAAAAAAGAAGCCCCCTGTGAAATAGAACAAATATACGAATATAAAAAAATCATTAGCCCAGCCTAAGCCAACCCCTTTCCATTTTTTCCACTTTTCTGTGAGCTAATCAAGGAGCAAGGTGGTGAGTAAAGAAAAACCGGAAACGCCGTGCCAATCAAATTAAAAAAAAGGACCACATCGAGCAACACCCCAGGATAGGATGCGAATGGCATCCTGGAGAAGGGGTTAGAAAGATGTAAGACATGGCTGAATTCCCGGGAATCATGCGGAAGATGAATTTTTAATTTGTTGCTGTTGCTTCCCGTTTTAATTGTTGTTGACAGACTGAGTGACTGACTGACAGCGTAATTTACAATCCTTTTTCTTTGGCTCTCTCCCTTAAGCTTAGGAACTCCGTCCCAGCAACGGGAGTGATGGAAATTTTAATTAAAGAAATTGCGGTTAATCCCGTTACAAAAAATGAAGATTCCGCCCGAGGGGTCAGCACTTTGGTGTGGCAACAACACAACCAAAATTTGTTGCTAATTGTGCGGGAATTTGTATGGGGTAATACATCCCATCTCATCTTTACCTATGTACGCATGAATATGGTTTGTATCCTGCGCACTTCAAAAGGTGGAACGACATCTCTGTCTTCCTTGGCTTATGGAAACCACATTTCCATTTTCACTTTCATTTACTCGCTTTTAATGTTATTATCCAAAGAGGGGTATACGTATGGTTCAGGTGGAGAGGAGTGCAGGGTGGTTACCCTCCGACTCCCTCATATTTGTCAAAGGATTTTGAGTAATTTCATTTTATGCCATTTGCACATCAATTTGCATCAAAATTTCAAATTCAAAGATGGTCGAGAGGCCACAAAGGAAATTCTACCGTAAAGTGCGTATCAGAAGTGGTGAAACTTTTAAAGCATTTATATAACAATTAATATTTTATTACAAGTAATTTATAGAACGTATTTAGATAATCCTAGACAATTAATTAATAATAATTAATAATAATTGTTTAAAAATTGTTAGAAAAGTTTTTGAGCTGATTTAAAATATAATAAATAAGGGAAATTGACTCTTATTTGTTTATTTATGTTAATAATTAACTACTAAGGTTGATTTTATCATGAAATTTACAAGAATTAATATTAATCAACCTTACACTTTTGAAATCCACGTTTGCGTGTGGCTGAGGAAAATGTGATGTCGTGTTGACATTGTGCGGACCATTAAATCGGGTTTACCTAACCCAAATATTTGGCAGCAAACACAGCAAACGCAGAGCTTAACCTGTTGATCCTGGCAAAAAACGAGTTTCAATACTTGCTAAAAAAGCCAACGAAATAATTGCCATTTATGGCTAACAGCTGCTCTAAAAGTCATCAGAATTGAAGGCTATTATTTTGGCTGTATATTTAATGACGGATTATTTGGACAGTGAAGTTTAAATTGAAACTGGATACTCCTCTGTACGTTTCATAAGTGGAGATGAAGACTCTCAGCGCATAAGAAATTAACTTAAAAAGTCATTTTGCCGGCAAAGGATGAGCTTCGAGCCAGGGGAAAAAAGGATTAATTGCATGAGGAGCTTCGCCGACCCCATGACAACACGAAGTGCACGCGGCCGTGAAGTGAATATCCTGGCTTTCCCATAAGCCATTGACTTGCCACATCCTTTTGGCCAGGACCCAGGATTCAGGACCCAGGCTACCCAGCCAACCAACCAACCAACCTCCCACCCAACCAACCAACCAACCCGGCATGTGTGCTCTGGCGGATCCGTATTTTTTAATAGTGTTCCGTGTGCCTCTTGGCGTTAATTTATGCCACAAAATCATTTTCTTTTATACTCTCCCCACATCCAGCCACATGCGAAAATAAAAATTAAAAAAGTGCAAAATATAAAAAGGCAAAGGACGAAGGATGGAGATGCAAATTGCGTTGCACTGGCCCCAGGATATGAGACGCAAACGCCAACGCAGTTTTATGTCAAGTGAAAAATGAGTGCGAACTATGACATGAAATATGAGCGTATCTGAGCCTTATTCCGAACCCAAACCCCCTTAAAAACCCCCCTGAAAATCCGCACACAAAGTTTTATTAGTTTCTGTATGCTGCAAATGCGGCACAAATAAAAGCAAAAATCGGGATTAGCTCGCGCAAAAACGAAATCGAAAACGTAAACAAATGCAAAAAGCTAAAAACAAATAAGAAAAAACCCGCATAAATAATTTATTATATGACATGCCGCCCGATGGTGATGAACCGACCTGATAAGCCCCGTCCCCAGCACGAAACGCTCGTACTTACCTAAAAAAAAACTAAAAAGTACCTAAAAAAAACTTAACAGAAAATATTACGGCAAACTCGGCTTCGTATAGCTTCGGTTTGAGTTTGAGTTCGGGTTCGGGTTCAATCGCCAGCGATTCCGATTTCTCGGAATTACTGCACAACTTATGCAATCTAAGACGCAGTAGAGTGATGTGATGTACACTGATTTACTCAATTTAACTGTATATACTCGGTTCGGCACATAGTACACTCCGGCCGGAATGCACACACGTCTGGATTCCGCTCTATATGTTGATATAGATCGCGAATAGTGTCCGGACAAGGCCGATGTTTTCACTGTCATTGGCATTGGCGGGTTAAGTGCCATGACAATGAATTCGAGTGCAGCGAGAGTGATGCAATGCACTTAATGCAAGGTCAGGATGTGTCCTTAGATTGCGCTAACCTATAAGATACATTTCTACCATCCATATTCATGACTTGAAAGGGCTTCAGAAAAAAGGCGTTTCACATATTGTCTTATCTGTGAATGGGGTTTATGAGCTCTATACCTATAAAACCCGACCGAAGTTTCTGGAACATTAGGTCTTTCCAATTCCAAATACTATTATCTTGGGTAGATTAAAATGTATAAACTTTCTTTTTGGTGGATTATAATAATTACTTAACCAATTACAAATGTTTACTCGTGTATTTTGACAATTAAATAAATTACACTTTAAAAATGTTGTTTTTAAAAAATCAGAACTAACGCCACCCACCATTAAAAAAATCGTTTATTATAGACTTATTCCATTCATGTTTTCTGGATCTTACATCCTACTTATAGCACATGTTGGCGCCTCAATGCCGCCCTGCATACGAATTCATTCAACTCAAGAGCGCTGGCCAAATCAAATCGAACTAAACTGATGTGACCCCGTCGAGCGACCGACCGCCCGACTATAAATAACTATAAATATCTGAATGGAAGAGGCGTCCAAACATTAGCAATGAAATCATGCATAACCGAAAGATACAAACAAATATCCGAATATCGGGGAGTACACAAAAACAAGGCATGCGCGGCAAATGGACGTGGAAGATATATCTTTGCGATCCGTTGCGGCAAGGTCGTTTATTTTGGTTTAGCACTGTTTCGGAAAATGTTCTCAACATTTTAGAATCGTTCCAAAGAACGAATTCATTTTTGGGATCTGAACTTGACATTGAATCTTGGGAGAGAGCGATAAGCTGTTGTTTTCAATTGTGATTCATTTGGATTCCCATTTCAATTGCTTGTGATTCGGCTATTCTTTTCCATTCCTCTTTTCGATTTGGGGCCTTTCTTCTTCTTGCCGCTGTGGTCACACAACTGTACTTGGGGCACGTGACGGAATAACTTCCAGATGATAAGGGGATCGGACTGGAAGCTGACTGTCAGCTGACCCATACCCATACTTACATAATCCCACGATACGTGATGGAGTGAGTAGAGATTCGTTTTCGAAAATATTTACAATGCATTTATTGGAAGCAGTCAAATATTTCACTTTGTTGGGGGATGTGTGGGGTTCTTAAGATGTCATACAAAAGTATTCGTACAATATAATTAATATACATATAGTTAAATAAATACATGTTTATGTACGGCGTGTGTGTGTATGCAGAGAAATAACACAGCCAAATAAGTTCCAAACTGCTTTAAACCAATTTTTGCAACTTTTTTTAATTTTGAGCATATTAATATGAAGGCCAAAATTAAATATTTTTATTTTCTTCAAACAAGATAAGCTTTGGAATAAATCTCTACTTCTTCAAACTTAAGATTTTAAATTTTTTCTTAGTCACGCGAAAGTTAGGTGTTGTATTCAAACTGAATAATTATAATAAATTATAAATAAATTAATAAAAAACTAAAAGCAACTAAAATATTAAATTCTTCGAAAACTCTAGAAAACTTATGCCCTTTTGGCATTTTAAAAGTCACGCTGATTTGCTGATTTTGTTGTGAAAAACGGAATTATGACCGATTTGGTATGGTTCTTTCTCTGCACGGTTATGTGTTTTTTGGTGTGGTTAAGTATAACTAAATCAGGACACAGCAGACTTGGCCATTCTCGCAGTCGTTACCGGGTCGCAGGAGCCTCTGATGGCATCGGTCCATGCACTGTCCCAAGTGTTCCGCACAGGGCGCTGGTCTAACCGGCACTGCAACGGCAACGGATGACGTTTTTGAGGACGGCGGGACACACAGAATGGATTGGGATTGTTTGGGTTAGTGGGCGATAGACTAGGATTTGATTTTTATGGGTGCATAGCGGGCGGAGGGGATCGGACTGATGGGTTTTTTGAGTGTTCGATGTTTGGGATTTTAAGCAGGATGGTACACACAGCAGAGAGCCAGCAATCTACTCACGTTCGTAGCAGCACTCCACGCCCTGTCCTTGACTCGTGGGACACAATCCCTTGTTCGTGGTGGGTTCCAGGCAGTCCTCCGTTTTCACACACAGTCCTCCGACCAGAACGCACTGACGATCGTTGGGATATACACGCACGCCCTGCAGCACTGCGATTTATATAGGTTTATAGTAGTTCCATATTTAGCAGGCTGACCAGCAGACACTTACTGTAATGTTCGGGGGTATCCACTTCGTTTGTCTCGACATTGGCCTGAGCCTGGTGCAGCACTAGGATGGCGCTGACCAGCAGGCAGCCCAACAAGCTCTTCCTCGGCGACATTTCTCGATATTCGGCTGTGTTACCGGGCGTATACGTGATATGTTTGCTTAAAAATCGATTCGATTCGACTCGGATCGAATTGATATTTTGCTAGGGTTTCAATACACTCTTCACTCTGATAGTAGTAATTTACTTCCACTCGGTGGCACGGTTTGCGTTGGACTGATCCCAGCTAATTAAGCTACAGAGACTTTTCAACGAAAAAATACACACTGCTGATAGAGAGAGGGAGAGCAACAGCGCGAGAAGAGGGAGAAATAGCGAGCGATTTTGCACAACTAACCCAGCAGCTGAAAGCAGCAGGAGAAACAGAAAGAGAAAGAGACGGAAGAAGAGGAAGATCGGGCGGTGAAAGAGACGGGGCGACGGGAGGAAGTCGAGGAAGTGCGGTTCAATTGAAGACCGTGAGAGAGTTTAGAAAATTGGCCAACTCCAATCGGCGTCATCCGCCTCAATCAGCAACGCTCTTCACTACACACAGAGAAAATGAGATAATTTTGCAAAATTATGATTAAGGATCAATGATTAATATTCACATTCGCCTTTCTACACAGTAAAAAAAATTAATACTGATTTTGTATTTTGAGACCATGGAGAAGGAATAATGTAATTTAGAATTGATCAGAGAAAAAGCAGTGTAGATAAATAAACTCTGGTTTCAGCTGAACCTAAAATGACTTCAAAATTTTTGGGACACAAAAAATGAAAAAATATTTAAATAAATATTAAATACTTAAATTAGTAAAGAATGCAATATCTGATAAGGATTTTAATAATAAAATTTTTTTCAGAAAAATTTGATTGAAAATAAAAGCTTCATAAAACATGATTAATATTTAGAAAATTCTTTCGGTGCACTGAAGATCGCCCAATGAATGGACCCACAATCAAGCGGTCAACTCGGGCGACCAGCGGCAATCAACTCCTCTCATCGGAGGGACGGAAGAACAAGAACCGCATTGAGCGGGGCGTAACGTGATTTTACTGCAATCCGATCTGGTTTGGCACACACATATCGCCAGCCTCCCCTTGCGCCCACCGAATTGAATTCTTATCGCCAGTGTTTGTGTAATTTTCGAAAACAATTCGTGTGAAATATGTGTGTGCAAAATAAACAAAAATTAAAATATTACGCATACGCAGCGGTGTGTGCCGCAGGCTGTGCCCCAGAAACAACAATTCTGTTTTGGGCCAGATGTTACCTTCGACCGATCTAAACAATTGCGGCTGGAAAGAGATCGAAATTCACTAGAACCGATCGATGAATGAACCAAGTGCCTGACCCTGAGAAACTAAATGGCAATGGACAAGGGAAGTACGTACTTTATTTATGTTTGTTTAACTTACCCCCTTTTTTAGCCCAGAGATGTGGTCAAACAAACGTATTTTTTTTTCTTTTTTGGGGGTAAGCACACACAACATGCACTTCACCTCCAGATCTCCAGATAATGATTAAAGGGTTCACTTTCGGGACTTGTCAATCCGTTCGCATCGAGTGGGAGCCCCACAACAGAAAAATTCCCCTGAACTCCCGGCTTATCAGTTTTAAATTCAAGTTTCCCCACCGAGCTTTCGCCCCAAAAAGCTGCCATCAAATGGTTTTTGTCTTGGGAATACTTATTTAAAGCTTTCCCCACCGAGTTGCCAAGAATTTCCCACCAAACTTGGGGAATATCCCCCACAAGCCCCCGATTAGTTTGAAAGCCGGGTTCTTAGAAAAGTAAACATCCCGTTGGGTGAATCATCTTCGATAAAGTTATGATTTATTACAGTTAATTACTTATTCATCTAGTTTCAGTTGAACTGGCATTTGAATGCATATGCACATACAGATATCTTTCATTGTCAGTCTTTTTTGTGGGGATTCTTACGACATCTAATACTTGGCCCATTGCCATAAACAGCAAATATCACAGAGTCGGGTGTTAAGAAGGCTGAATCCAGGGATCCACCACCTGCTTATCGGTTCAGTCGGCCGACTTTTGCAGTTCATTGACGATGATCACGTCGCAGGTGATTGCTGGTGGACTGGCCGGGGGTGGCAGAGGCGGAGGCGGTGAGGTTGGAGCACCCAGTTCGCCGGCCTTGTTACTGAACGGTATCACAAACACACTCGTCTTGGCCGCATGCTGCATCTTGATCACCGTATCGTAGCTGGGCGGTGCGAATTCACTGTAGGATGGCGAGGGCGTGGGCGGTGCCCTCAGACCCTCCGTGGACTGTCCTCCGGCGGGACGACGTCTCATGTCACGGCACCGGCGATCCGAACAGGCCATCAGCATGAAGAAGGCGGCCAGGGCCAGAAAGGTGGCCACATACCACACAATCGTGATCACATCCATCGCTGTCTGGGATAGTTCGTTGGGCGACTCGACGACAGCTGAAAGAATTTAGTATTAATTAGTATATGATCATTCTCCAGACCCTAGTCATAGACAGAGACCACGTTATGTATTAATTAGAATCTAGAAGCCAGACTCTCGATAGAACCCCCAAGAAGGCATAGAATTTCATCAACAATTCCTTCATCCCAGTGCAAAAGTGTATTGCCCCGCACATCAGATTATCACACACCGTGTTTGTGCTTCTAGTCACGAATTGTGGGTCTGCGCCATAAACTTTATGACGAAACTGCTCGATTCGCATTACTGTCGCGTCATCGAACTACGCTAATGGCTAAAATGGCCTATTGATAGGGGCTAACCCCAGTTGTGGGCACCGGCAATTAGACGGGAATAGTTGTTGATTGGCGGTTTCAAGGGTCCGGTAAAATTGAGATATTACCAGTGGGCGAGGGCCACAAGGGTTACGAAACTGAATTGATCTAATAGCTGTTCGAAGTTCTTTTGAGCTTTCCTAGCAATTTTTACATTACTTTGTAGAGGGAGAAAACAAATAGGTCGAATTTTTAAAATATTTCTTTAAAATGATAAAAGATAATTACGAAAAACAGTTTTGGTTTTGGTTTCCAAAAATTAAAAATTCCTTAATATACAAAAGTTTTTTAAAATTCAATGACTTTTGTAAGATACTGAAAAGCAATGTCCTACAGAGCGCTTTACGGAGAACTTGAACTTTCAAAACTGTCTTTCTCGAAACCATGTTTTTTCAACTGGTGACTATGATATCTCAAGAACTACTTGAAGAAAGTTTAAAGTTTCATATGACCATTTTCGACCTTTTCAAAATCCTTTAGTTCCTGCCAAAACTACATTCAACTGGATTAAAATGGGTGATCCCCCTTAACACAACTTTACTGTTAATACAGTAACATTTATTTCTTATCTAATTATTATTTACTACTTTATCAGGGGCAATGGACCCAGCAAATATTTATAGTTTATTTAAATCTAATTTAAAACTGCGATCTTTAGAATGTGCTATCAAAATAAACCACTTCAATATATTATTTAATACATTTAGATAAGATTCCAAAAATACGGTCATGATTCTATTTATATTTAAGAATAAATAAAAATGACTGTTGTCAAGACAAAAGCCAAAGAATATCTCTTTTTTTTGGAAATGCTGGCATTACTCATTCCTAGAAGAAGCTAGAAGCTAGACTAGTTTTAATCAGATTAATGTTCACTGATTTTGGTAATATTTTTTTTTTTTAACATCCTAAAACTTTTTGTACTGGCTGATTTAAAAATTGGGTTTTAGTGCTAACTTGTCTTTGGTCTTGGCACTTTTCACATTAGCTCCCTTTTTAGATACTCACTGTTTTTGTAGACAATTATGCGGGTGTTGTTCGAGATGGTGTCGGGAAACAAGTCCACCTCGGTGGTTCCGTTGGCGGACGTTAGGTTGTAGGGCAGCTGGCGGGAGGACTCGTTGAGGACGTTCTCCAGACTGAAGAGATAGGACTGGCCGTGTACGCAGCACGAGCTGGCGACGATTACTGAAAGGGAATAGAGTACCCACGCCGAACCAAACCAAACCGCATCGAGTCGAATCGAGTCGAGTTAAATCGAATCGAATCGAAAAGGAACGGAACGGAAGGGAAGGGAACGGAGCGGACGAGGGGCATTAGCGATATTATGTGGTATCAGGAAATCAAGACAGAGTGGTGAGTGGTGGTGAGCTCACTGAAACAGATAGCTTATCTTCACCATTCTGTGGCGTGCGAACGAATGGATCTTCCTTCAGGTGGGAGCAATGAGGACAAACATCTTCATCGGCGACTGATAAGCGTATCTAAATATAGTCACTGCCAGCGGGGCGTTCCCCCTATGGAAATGGATCGCTTAATGAGCTCAGCCAATCGGGCGGTTAAGTTTACGACCAAAGCCACTTGACGATAAGACCCCGAACTGACGACCCGGTGTCTGAGTTGTTTCTGAGTTTCGGGATATCTCCAGCCCTGATACGGATGAAGAATATCTCTAGTCCCAGCGACTAGTGGGGTAGGTATTAGCCCATGCGCGTTTATTACTTCCCTATCTATAGTATCTATGGCTTGCAAAATATTTTGACTCTCCCCCATCAAAACACAAACACCATAAATGCCCCGTTAAGCTGCCGCCAATAAAACATTGCTTTGCCGCTATCTCATTTAAAAGACCTTTCGATGAGTTGGCAACCGAGTTTGCACACTTCTTTGGCGGCGGCCATATTTCACCATCGAAGGTGCGTTCTTCTTAGATGGGCACACGGCACAACATCTTTTTTTCGAGACCAAATATCTTTACAACGTCTGTCAATAATTACTCGATTGCGGACCCGTTTCACCACGAATCTGATGAAATTTCGGTCGCACGAAATTGTTGACCTAGGTTGGGACTGTGACGAGTCTCGTCGATGAGAGACAGCTGGTCATTTTTTTATTGTCAGTCCAGAGGAAAAGTTGCGCAACTGATTATAAGATAATTCATACGCCCCGTTGTCTAGCCAAAAGTGGAATATTTAATAGATAGGCAGCTTGAATGAATAGAACTCGGGGTTTATCTTCCTTGAAGAAGTCGTCTGGGCACTAGTCATGTGGGAACTCCGATCCCGAGGCAAATAAGTTGAATGGAATCTTTGTGCTAATTTCTGGCAAATTCCGAGTCATCTAAACAAAATGATCATGTGAAAACAGCTGTCCCATTAATGGAATCTTTTTTGCTGGTTCAAAGCAAATATTTTCCGTGCTGGTGATAAGACATCCTAAGATTTATCTGAAAATGTAAGCAGGTAATTACAAGTAACCCTGTTCCACATTTGCACGCACAGAACACTAGATTAAACCATTTGATATATGGTTTCTAAAAATAACTGCCAAAGCTAAATAGTTGGGTGCGGGTTTCTTGGGGGAGAATTTCCAGTTAGCGGTGGATAAATTGCGTGGGTGGGTTCGGTTATTTATAGAGTGTCGAGTTGATACCGATAAGGTGGCCGTAAAAAAACGCATGCAAACACCAGCACAAACCCATTGAAATGCCAAACAAAACAGGCAAGGTGGAAGTGGAAAAACAAGCAGCCACAACAAAATATTAGCAATTAAATTCTAATTAGCTACTAATGGCGAAACGTGCTGGAGTCAACGTCAGCAGTTCCAGTGGTGCTGGTGGTGTTGTGGTGGCACCTGTGCAAACCGATATGCGATATGGGTGGCATTGTCTGGTCGAGTTATTCATATATATATGTACATCGGAGTTACAGATAAACGAACTCCACTTGCCTTGAACCGGCGGCTTTCTGCTTAAGAAGTCGCGTTTCGGGAATTTCCGTGATTAGTTGCCATTACCCCCAAGTTGGGTGGTATAGTAGTACAACGCCCCATTTAATAGCGTCATTTGTCATTAGCATTTGGGGCTTGCCAGCGACTTGAGCTTAACCGGTTTCCATAATTTGCGGGAACATTGCAATTGGAGATATCGCAGGCCCCCCTCTCGAAAACATCCAACATCCCACTTTAACTAAATGTCACCGAAACGAGAGGCTTTAACTTTGATTCGCTTGGATGATATTTATGGGGCGATCACATGTCGCCGGCTCTCAGATCTTATCTAACGGGATTAGCAGATGACGGGATCGTAAAGACATCGTTAACTGGTTTACGATGTCTGGCTGAAGGCCCAAGATGATATGGTCTTGACGCCAGAAGTTCCTCAAACAGTCGTCTAAGGTTATTATGGTTATTGGGATTTGCATTGCACTGATAAAAGTAAGTGGGGGGATTTTTGGAAGCCCAGGTTTTAATGATATAGGGTATATAACATAAAATGTGCCAACAAAGCATCAGAAACTATGTTTTATATTTTATTATTTGATTTCACTTTTATATCAAATCAAGTCTCCTTTGTGTGCTGACCAACCGATAAATCATAATAGAACATCTAATGATATTTATGAGGTTTTATGAAGAATGCTTCAACTAATCACTGATATTTCCTGTTTCATTATAACGACTAGTTCTATGAGATGATTGGCAATACTTTAAAAATACCTACCTACGGCAAACGCGGTTTCATAGACCCATTCAAACATTCCCTGCTCAATGAGTTTACCCGGTATGTTTATTCACGGTATAATTATCTCCAATCAGCTAGGGTTTGTGGAGGTTCACGTTCACATAATTAGCATATGCTTCTACGAGACTTGTTTATTGCCTGCTTGTATATATATCTGTACATTCTGCACATATAGCTAAATATATATATATCCAGAGAAGGCCTGTCTCAGAAACGCGACTCACCTATCATAATTAGCAGCATTGTCTGGATCCGGCTGTATTCCATGGCGCTGATGTTCAGGTAACTGGGCCTGTTGTTTGTTTTTGATTCACACACTTGTCGGCTTGAATTGCAATCAATGAATTTCCATAAATCGTTCACTTCACCGCGAATTGAGAATTGCGAACTGAGAATTGCACCGGGCAATTGGAGACGGAGTGGGGGCTTTAACTTGGAAGCGGTCTGTCCGCCGAATCGAATCGATCTTTCAGCTTCAACTGTGTGTCGCAGACTGAGCGAGTCGCTCGATTTGCCCACAACTTTTAGCCGGAGCTGCTCTTTCTGGTAGTGGTTTCGTTTCGGTTCCAGCCAGTTGCCTGCGTCTTTGTGTGGCCCCCCGTGCGTATGAGTCACGCGCTCTCCGCCGGGCGAGAAAGTAATTCCAGCGATTGGCGGGACTGGTTAGAGCATCGTATCTAATTGTTGGCCAAAACATCAAACAATACGCTGGGGAGGTGGAGGTGCCAAACCAATGAATGATTAGAAGTGGGTTTGGTTCTGGTCCTGTGGCCACGATGGTTTTTTACAAACGCACCCAAAAACCATAATATTAGCTCAATTTTACAATGAATCATACAGTTTAAAAGATATTTCATATTGTCATTATTATACAAAAAAGATTTTTTAAGGGGACTTCCGCGTGGTTACAGAATCGCAGAAAAATAATATTATGCTATCACCATTTCATATAAATATAGAAGGGAAGATATTAAAATTATATATGAACAATAATTTTCTTAACTTAAAGTGTGAAGTATGAATAAAATATTTAACATTTCGTATTATTAATGCTTGCCTGTATTTTAATGGAAGTTCCAAATATTGATCTTGCCAGATCGAAAATAGACTTCTTTCTTGCTGCGCAGTTTATGCAAATATCATTTTGAGCTATTAAATTATCAATGTGATAACGCCATCACAATATGTCGCAGCTTGCAGATAAGTGATAAGAAAAATAAAGAATTTATAAGCCATGTTGGTGCTATATTTTCTTTGTATATGAACCAGTTCCCTCTTCAACGTTATGTATATCTTATATATCGGCTTGAGTATAAACCACACCTTATTCCAAAGTCCCTTAGTTACCGTTTGTTTTAAAAATACATATTCGGGGAGGCAGCTCCACTGCGAAAGTGGCTCAAAGAAGCCACTTTGATTTGGGTTATTTTTGGGCGTGAACTCACACCTACACGCCCCACTCGCAGGCGCTAATTCGCTGTGCGAATTTCACGATTTAACAACATTGCGGCGTCAGAAGAAGATCGAGTGAAATTTCTAGGATCCCCAAGAGGTTTTCGACTCGGAATGATTGATGGTTCAGCGGTCAAGCTTCTTATCAGGGTGCTTGACACGAATTAAGGCCGAACTATGAGCGTCAGAGTGATTTAAGATCGGCCCTGAACTTGATGAATAGATCGATCGTCTCTTTTGTGTGCGTGTTATAATTGGCACCTGGGCGTTATATATAGAGACATATATCCATGGAGCGGCTACCGGTTGCCAAGAGGGCTGCACATTCGCTAATTGATTCGCATACTGCGACTCCAAGGCAATTGGACAACAATTGGGCCGACATTGAACGGGGGCACAGATTGGATAGCAAATTGTCTCTCGCAGATACGATGGGCCATAACCAGTTTGGTCAATTGTGGCGAGTCAACGACCAGGCGACCCCAGCACGTGCCACCGATGAGTCCAGCGTTGGTAACAAAGGAAAATCTAAGCAGTCCAGAAATTAAATTAAATGATTAGCCACGGATGACGCAGTGGGAGCAGCACCTTTCCTCTAGTCGTGACCAACTGTTGATTTCTGATCCCATGAGTTGAGGTGCCTGTCCAACTGGTTATTGGATAAGACACGTGCTGATTCACGATGTGTGTCACCATGTGATGAAACCCCAAAGATGTAGTGATTCCCGGCCGCACTTTCGCCACGCTCTGCTGAGATTTAGTTGGTTTATTTATCAGTTAATATACGTATTTGAGTGAGTTGCGTGTGTATACATATGAGTTAATTGGCTTAAGACCTACTGACCTCTCACTTACATTGCAGTTACATGTTTGGAGTAAATACTGTTGTTCGCGTACATAATCTCGTGAGCGTGTGTGCCTACATATTATACTCTGGGTTGAACAATTGACACTTTCAGCCAGCACACAACAAAGACATCTACAAGCGCGTGGTATTCTATGCGTACAAATACATAACATATAACTATGCAGTACAGAAACAGGTACAACTATGTGGAGTGCTCCGCCAAGAAGGTCCTGGCCGGCCCTTGGAATATTTACGCTAGCTAATACAGAGACTAGTACTGTGTGGCTTTCGCATTTGCTTTTTGCTTATAAATAATTGCTGCCTAGGTAAATAATTGATATAATTTCATGGAGTACGATAATACCAGTGAGATTTCATCAGTGAGTAAACAACTTGCATCGCCAAAAGGCGGCCTCAACAGTTACAAAATACTCAAATAATACGGATAGTTGAAGAACATAAAACTTAAATATATACATCAGTAAAACTGTGGAAATTCTAGGTTGTGAGTATTCTGTGATTTGGATTTGGTTCCGAGTGAACATTTGATCGCTAACGCTAATCACAAAACATAAAATCAGTCCTAACATATTTACATGGAATGCTGATCTGTTCAGATAGAGATACAATTACCTAATAGGACTAATACAACAAGTGTGTGCGGTACCAAGTTACAACTTGCTGATCTGGCACAAAGCGGAGCGGATCTTTATCTTTCCGGGAAGAGGGACTCGTAGCTGGGCGGCAGATCCTTTGGCGTGGCCGGCTGCTGTTGCTGCTGTGCATCGTGCTCGTGCAGCACGCTATCATCGTACTGGACCGCTGGTGGCAGCTCAATGGTGGGCACATCGGACTGGAAAGGAGGTTCATGGAATTAGCTGTGATTCTAGGCCTCAAACAAAGCAAACTCACCCTGACTCGCCGCTGATTGAAGCGGGCGGCGGAGGCCTCGTGCGCCCGCTGCTGCACTGTTATGCAGTTCCAGTACTTCCAGCAGATCCACACGCAGAAGCCCACGCCCAGCATGGTGAAGATGAGCGAGGTGAGCGCCGAAATGGCCACGTTGGCCGTGTCGATCTCCTCGGGCGCGATGGCGTCGTGGAAGCAGGTGCCCTCGTCGCGGCACGGATACAGGCAGTTGGTGATGTTGTCGCGCACAAAGTGCCGCGAGATGCACGAGTACTGGTCGCCGGGATCGCAGAGAAAGTCCCCATTAAACTGACACTCGGAGTGGGCGGTCAGCACCATGCGCAGCTCCAGCGGATCGCCGAGAATGTGGCGCGTTCGATCGATGAAGATGTGCACGTTGACCTCGCGGTCGCGCTGGTCGAAGATCAGCCGTCCAGCGGGCCCATCAATGGAGATATCCGTGCAGATGCGTTCGCTGGGCGAGCGGTTGCCGCTGCTGAACTGGATGTAGTCGATGCACTCCTTGGACACCGGATCGCGCCGGAACTTGAGCCGCGTGATGATGGTGTAGATGCCGCGCGGCGGCCGCTCGCTGGTCACCACCCGGAACTGGCAGTCGTACTTGATCTTGTTGGCCACATGGCCGTGGGGCAGTGTCAGGTTCCACATTTGGGTCACAATTGCCCCCGAGGTGTCCTCGAACTCCAGCCGCACGGTGGGATCGCCGCGGAAGGGCTTGGCCAGCGTGTAGAACAGCTTGTCCGAGCACATGTTGTCCTGGAGGCGAACTGGGGGACAAAGGTTATAACCTCCGCTCGAGAGGATTGGGATTAAAATTACTCACCGTTTTTGTAGGCAGCGCAAAAGGCCACCATCATGGCCAAAGGCCAGAGCGTCCCCATGCAGCACTTGCCCAGCATCTTGTCCCGCGGCCACACGTCCTGCGTGTTTGCTTGCTGTTCCGACGCGTCTCTGTGCAGCTAGAATCCCTGCATTTGCATTTGTTTTCCTGCAAAATGGCCTTAAAATTTGTTTATTGCTAAATGTAGTTGGTGATGGGAAACAAGCAACGATGCATCGATGTCGATTCTTTTGACTATATCGATTTCTTAATATCGCGGTCCGCCCTTCGCTAGTAATGGGTTTAGCCAATACAACCTCCTGCCTTAGCGAATACACTCGCCTGACGCTGCAGTTTGAGAAGCACTATACACTTTGGCGGTAAAGTTTTTGAGTTATTGGAAGTTTTAGAAAATGTTCAATAAATTAAAATATTTTAATTGTTTAGTAAAGTCTTCAACTAAATTTGTTGGCAACAATAAAACGTCGTAAATGACACTAGTATTGATAACACAGTTCAACATGAAAAATGTAACCGCACACCTGATTTCATGGGCGGAAAGTACTCATCGAAGTTAGCTTAAGCCCATTTGGGTTTCTCTGGCTTACCTATTATGTTTACCATTTACCTAGTTTTAAATTCCAAATTTATTTGTATCGGCCGTATGTTGTGAACCGATTAAACTTTTCTTTCAAGTCCTTCGCCATTTACTACTATTTACTACGGTTTACTACTATTTACTACGATTTACTACGGTTTACTACGACTTACTACGATTTACTCCGACTTACTACGATTTACTACGATTTACTACGGTTTACTACTATTTACTACGACTTACTACGAGTTAATACGGTTTACTACGGTTTACTACGACTTACTACGATTTAATACGGTTTACTACGGTTTACTAAAATTTACTACGATTTACTACGGTTTACTACGACTTACTACGATTAACTACGACTTACTACGATTTAATACGGTTTACTACGGTTTACTACGATTTACTACGGCTTACTACGGTTTACTACGATGTACTACGGTTTTTTATACTATCAATTGGCAAATGATATTGCCCTACCGAAAAGTGGTCTTTAAAGGTTAGTAAATCTGTAAATTGAATATAAAAAAATGTGGTTTATTTCTTGGTGAAAAAATAATTATACTTAATTTTTTTCAGATCACATTAGACCCATTTGTCTGCCCCTAACCACAGATCTCCAAGAATTTACCTCGATCACTGGAAAATCCTACAATGCAATCCTACGATTTACTACGGTTTACTACGATTTACTACGGCTTACTACGATTTACTACGATTTACTACGATTTACTACGGTTTACTACGACTTACTACGATTTACTACGGCTTACTACGATTTACTACGATTTACTACGGTTTACTACGATTTACTACGGCTTACTACGATTTACTACTACTTACTACGGTTTACTACGACTTACTACGTTTTACTACGGTTTGGTACGATTTACTACGGCTTATTACGATTTACTACGATATACTACGATCTACTACGATCTACTACGATTTACTACGATCTACTACGATTTACTATGTTTTAATATGTTTTTAGTAAACCATAGTCCACTTCCTTGCAAAAGTGATTTGTGAATTTAGTTTCTTGGGTTCATAGCTGCATAATCGCGAAGGACTTGAAAGTGAAATTTCAATCGGTTCACAAGATATGGCCGTTACATAAATTTGAAATTTTAACTCGCTATAATAGGTAAACGCGAGCTAAGCCAAAGAAACCCAAATGGGTTTTAGATAACTTAGATGAGTACTTTCCGCCTGTGAAATCAGAATTGCGGTTACATTTCATAACATTTAAAATGTTGGACAGTGTAATATTGAAGAATATGAATAAATAATGTTTCCTTTCTGCAGTCCAGGCTCTACTCATAGAATATTTTCAGTGCATTCGCAAAATCTAAATAACAAATGTTAAAATTAAAGAAATTTACAAAAAATTTCGTTTAATTTGTTTACTTGTTTTTTTGCAAAATATAAACAAATATTTTTTATCGCATGGTTGGCTGTGTTTCTAAGAAGCGATAAGCGTTGGATATAAATGTGTATAAACCGCACACCAGCTTTCAGTCGATTTTAATATAAGCTTGGATCATGACCCATTCGGACGTAGCTTTTACCCTTTTTTGGTTCATATTTTGCGTAATATCTCCGTTTCAAGGCAATTCTTACATTTTAAGCCCCGAAGAACACAGAGTTTACGACCAACTTAGACAGCAGGATTGCGGAAGATTAAATGGATATACGATCGAAAACCTTAGTAATGACGGCAAAGTCTCGTTGGAGTCCCAACCTTGGATGGTTCTTATCTATGCAGAAAAACACATGGATAGTTGTCGCTGTGGAGGAGCCCTTATCTCAGAATGGATATTTACTATTAATTTTTTTAGTTTATGAATTAATTATTTCGTTTTTTGTTAAAGCCTTTGTTTTAACTTCCGCTCATTGCCTGGCATTTTGCCCTTCATCCACCGAGTAAGTATAATATTTTAATAAATATTTTTATATATTTTTATTTAACCTCCTTCCTAAACAGATTTAAAGTTAGGATAGGAGTGAAAAACTTAACGACCGCAAAAGATTGGGTATTTTTGGCAAAACATCAAATACCACATAATAACTTTTTATACTACCAACTGGCAAATGATATTGCCCTGCTGAGATTAAACAGGAAAGTGGTCTTTAAAGGTTAGTAAATTGAATATAAGAAAAATGTGTTTTATTTCTTGGTGAAAAATAATTTCTTTCTATCTTTTTTTTTTAAGATCACATTAGACCTATTTGTCTGCCCCTGACCACAGATCTCCAAGAATTTACCTCGATCACGGGAAAATCCTACAATGCAATCCGGTGGAAAGAAATCGATAGATTCAATGATTCAACCACTCTAATAAACCATATTGTGATAACGGAAGAGTGTCCCGTAGACACTCACGAATCTTTTCTGTGCACCACTGAAAACACCTCCTGCAAGGAAAACTCCGGTGGACCACTTATCGGGATGGAAAATTATTTTGGAACCATTCGTCAAGTTTTATTCGGAATTGCTAGTCATGGAAAGGGACCCTGTGGACCATTACAAACTGCGTACTACACGAATCTTTCCCCCTTCATGCCATGGATACTCGAGACGATCGCTAAATTTGATGCTTTGTAAGGAAGTCCTGAATTTATTAAACATTTCTAAATACTACAAAAATAATTTGAAAAAAAACTAACGGAAATTCTTATCAATGACCAAAAAGTCTTTTAATTATCTGATTTTAATACACGAAATAACAGTACTTACATGATTATTTTTTTAGTACTTACTTTACTTAGGAGAATATTTTTCCAACTGTAAAAATCGGGAGAATTGAAAATCTTTTTAAGATTTGTTTCGCTCTCCTACTTAGTACTAATTATACGCTTGTTTCCCAACCCACTTTGGATCCAGCACCTGATCAATGGCATTACCTATTCAACTCTCGCGCCTTCCGTTTATTATAATAATTGTGGAGCCGATGACGTAGTTTGCGGCTGGGATAGGAAATTCGATGTCGGATTACGGTTATGTAAGCCCACTTTTGTGGCAGAATAGTTCAGGAACGCACATTCAGCAATGATCCGCTGACGAAAGTGGTTGGGTGGTGAATAATACCCTGTATCGCGTATATATCGACAGACAGAGCGTCTAAAACAGCAGCAACATCAGTCTAGTTTGTGCTCTTCATCAACTACAAGATCGCCTACCCCAACCACAGAAAACGTGTGCTATCTAGACTCCACATTATACCCCTCGGAGACCCCCCCATTCGCGAATTATAGTGCCGATGGCGATTTGCAATTACGCTGATTTACTGATTTACCCACTTGACAATCCGAGTCGAGTGTGCGCGTTTGCAATCTCCGCTCGTCGTAATAATAATTAGCAAATAAATAAATAAAAACTTCAATTAAACGTTAAAAAAATCACTTAATCATTCTGAACGAAATCGAGTGAGCAAATGGAAGCATCACGGGCCTTTAAAAATCAGATAGCTGCCGTGCTTTAAAGGGTAAACACTCGGAACTATCCACTAAAAACGCCTGATTACTCCAATTGAAACCGATTCAAACGGAATTCAGCTATCTTCTTTGTTTTTTTGTGATTGCGAGGTATTTTTCTTTGGAATTATAATAATTTCTCTATAAATTTAGAGGAAGTTTGCCAAATCAAACCACTTGTTATTGTGAAGTGAAAAGTTAGTGTGCTGCTTAAAATACGCAAACAAAAATAATTTAAAACAAAAACAGATAAACAATAGACTTTAAAATTTACAAAACAAAACTTCGCTAATAACGACAGAATGGTATGGCAATTTAAGTTGATAATGACCAAATTAAGTGAAATAATTACTTAAATGCTTTAATTCTACTACTATTTAATTGTGAAATGAATATATGAAATAAACCACTCAATATTGTGTAATTAAATTGTTAAAATATAATATAATACTATAAAAAGAGTGTATGAATCGCAAAGTGGAAAGTGCCATTTAATTTCAAATTTAACCAAAACATTTTATATAAAGGCTTAAATACTTGAATTCTTCGATTCACTTGTGACCTGACTTTATTATAATGTAATTTCCGCAATTATCCATTCCAACTGGAAACTAAATTAGTGAAATGAAACTTTTGGTCTTGTCAATCGGCTGGACAGGATAGTAATGTGGCAGCCATTTAACAAGACAAACTAGGCGCTCTTAATGGGACACGCCCCCTCTTGGACAGGCAGGCGGTGGTGAGGGGAGGCTGTTCAATCAACCAACTTCTTGTTCGATAAGCAACAGTTTGCTGCAATTTAAGTTACACTTTGCCACCTGTCGGATGCCTCGAACCTCCAACCCCAGAAAGGATACTCGGCCGAAGTATCCTTCGGTTCGTCGTCCTGCCGACGACAAATTGGCGCCCGCCTGCGCATCCAGCGTATAAAAGGAGGTCTCCGGCAGCAGGATTCATCAGTTGGCCCAAAGGAGCGGCGCGCGTCTCTCAAATCGGACGCATGGAAGCCAGAAAAGTTTAAAAATTGTGCAGTGCCTTTGTCATAATTCAAAGTGTTTAATTCAGAAATTTAAGAAGGTTGTGCCAAGGAAGTGCCATTTTTTTCAAGTTTCATTTAAAAAGTAAGTCCACAAAATCATTATCATCCGTGATAGTGCTTTAAGTTATTTAATTAAATAATTGTGTAAATTTAATTCAAAAAATTCAATTTTACTTTAATTTTAAGTTTAAAATAATTGACATTAGGATGTCTTTACTGATCGCAGTTCAGTTTGTTATTTTAATTTAAATATATTTCTTGAAAATAAATATTTTATCTTGCTTAAAAACAGTTTTTAACGTAAGAAGTAAACAAAATTTAAATAATCGAAATTTTAGCAATTTTTTTTTCCATTTCTAAAATAGTGATTTTACTCCAATCTATATAATTTAAGTGATTGGAAAAAATATCCTATGTTTTAAGTTTTATTTTTAAAATTTAAAGTTTTATAGTGGTTGATATATTTGGGTGCTCATTGCTTAGGTTAAAAAATTACAAATTTTCATTAAACATTATACATTATTTGCATATCATTAATACCTATTGGTAACCATCTGCTAAACATATCCCCATCTTTTCCATACTTCTAAGTGTCTTTTGATTGTTTAGAATTTGCTTTGCGGTCCCATATTTTTAGCACTTGTCTTATCATTTGGAAATTCCGTCGGCACATGTGCCCAACTTTTTATATATTTATCTGCTGTTTGACTTCGCGTGTGAGCCACAATTAAATGGTAATTAAAGAGTCATATAAGCCCTTTGAAGCCCTGAAAAAAATCAAGGCTGCATTTTTTCACTGGAAATTCATTTGGCTAAGTGAGATTCGTTGAGCATACGCCGCGGTGTATATTTTAAAATTTAAGGAGAGTGTAACTCAAGGATAATCCTTTAAACTAACGTCCGGAAATGACTATATTTCACGACATTGACATTGAAAGGATTTTTCGTGGCCATTACTGCAGTTAAATGAGTTCAGAATTTAGTGGACCTGTGGTCAGGGGAATTTTAAATGTTACAATTTTATTTTTTTTAATGCCAAAAAATTCTCTTAATTTCAATGCCTCCCTTGGGCGAGAAATTAACGACTATCATTTGCCATGCCCCATTTAATGCGATTGTTTATCTCCGGTTCCAGTTATTTGCCAGTCGATTCAGCGAGGCCAGCATGTGAAGAGCCGTGGGAAAATGCAATTTTCTCGACCACAACGTTAAACGGGCCGGAAAAGCGGAAAAGCGAGGGATTGCAGGTGGTGAAAAAGCCGTGAAAAGCCGCAAATAGAGGCGTAGATTTCCCTTTTTCTGGCCCCGGACTGAGTACAGCTTTAGATTTCGGCTGGCTAAGCTCGTGCCGCGATCGGCGTACACTGCCACGCCTCCAGGCACCACGCCCCCTCCGCCCCTGACACGCCCCCTCGACCGCAACATGGACCGCAGCGGTAGCTCCGATTTCGGGGGAACAGTGGCTGCCACGACCGGCCGCTCGAATCTGAACTCCGCTCCCTGGAGCGACGACAAGGAGTCACCGAACAACGAGGACGACTCCAACGAGGACGACGGCGACCACACGACACCCGCCAAGGTCACCGATCCGCTGGCCCCCAAATTGGCCAACAATGAGGTGAGTTCTCTTGGCCAAAAATGTACCATTCAAAACCATTAAATATACGAATCAGATAAAATATACCTTATACGATGTTGCCTCTTCCTATAGTCTAAATATTTTTTTAAACAATATAATTTACACATTTTTAAACCGATTCATACTTTAAAAACTCCAAAATATCCAACTAATTGCGTTGCAAAGGAAAGAAGAATAACATTTTAAAAAACCAATTTTCGGAACTTTTAAGTTCTATTTTTTCAAACAAAGACACTATCAAACGATGTAAAAAAGTCGTGACGATCGCTCCTTAAACACATACAATTTATGATTGTATGTATATCTTTTGTGACGAAAAATAAAATAAAAAATTCAACATTTTGGTCCAATTGCAGATATTTTGTCATTTAAGCTTGTAACCTACAAGAGTTTTACATTAAAAATCATAAAATAATTGTCAAAATCAGATTTTTTAAATCCCCGATTGGATACTTTTTTAAGTTCTGACTTATATTTTCTACCCAATTTAATTTAGCGCATTTTGGTTGTGTCCGTGACGGAAAGAACCCGTGAGACCTGGGGACAAAAAGCAGAGTTCCTGTTGGCCGTGATTGGATTCGCAGTTGATCTGGGCAACGTTTGGCGATTTCCCTACATTTGCTATCAGAATGGCGGAGGTGCGTTCCTGGTTCCCTACTGCCTGTTCCTCATCTTCGGCGGTCTTCCCCTCTTTTATATGGAACTGGCTTTGGGTCAGTTTCATCGCTGCGGCTGCCTCAGCATTTGGAAACGCATCTGTCCGGCCCTAAAAGGTGTGTATAAAAAATAAAATACCTCTTTAAATAAAAAACTCTCCTCAAAAGCTATTAAAAAAGTCATAAAAATGATGTAGAAATAAATATAAACGAGCCCCGAGGCTTCGGTATATAATACAAAGATTAAATGGCAATTTAAATGAATTACAAATATTGAGTTTAAGTCACAGAGTATATAAAAAACGAGATTGCATATTGAAATCTATAAAAGCGTTCAATATTTGCGCAGAGATATAGCCCGAGGCTCTACGATTTTGTAATGAGAAATTAAGCATACGCAGCGTGGCTCTGTGAAATTCATATATGTTCAAGATAAACTCGTGTGTTGTTGATGTCTGATATTTTACGCTCGGCCGAGCATTATTGTCTCAGCCAGAGATTCCGAGGACACCCGCACTTCGTTGGCCAAAGGACCACACAAAGGACCAAAGTTTCCCTTTTCAGAGGGGGGATTTCCCTAAAAAAAGAGGAAGCCCATTGTGTGTGTGCTTGCGACATTATCAAGCAGTGAAATGGATAAGAGTCACCAGATTTGTTGCAACAATTAACGACTTATTCAAGCGGAAAGCACAAAGCCCAAATCAGCAGGACCTCCGCAGGATCCGGGCCAAAGGCTCTAATTAAATTGTCCTCAAATTGATTTACACCAGCGATGAAAAGACAGCCACTGGAGGGGAAGTCCCATTCAAAGTTTTGCATATCGAGTTGATAATTCCATTAAGTGACAAACAAAATGTATGGGCTGCCACTGCCGTTGCTCTTCCACTGGATTTGCTCAAACTTTTGCCAAGTCACTTGGTCTAGGCCAAATCCCACTCCATCTGGTTTTCCCCTCCTCTGCTTTCCTGCTCGTAAAAAGTCCGAGAGCAAACACCACTTTGTGGCAGTCATCATTTGCTCAACAAGTGTTTGCTTTGGCAAACCTTTTGCCAAGCGACTCGAAATGAAAAGAAAAGCCGGAAAGCAGGGCGAGTGGAAAACTTAGAGAAGGAGGCAAAATCACGTGACGTGTCTTATTGGCCTCATAAGTAAGCGGGCGGAAAATCAGAGGGTGGTTTGTACAGGAGATAAAACCTGCAAATTGTCACGCGGGAATATTCCAATTTCTTTGCCTATTCTCCTTTGGCCGATTTCAATCAGAAATATTGCCATTCCCAAGTCAGGTTAAGCTGCCTTTTTAAAGGAACCTGTTGATTTTTATGTTTTTTGCGGCCTTGTTAGGCGAGCAATTAGGGAAATTAATGGGGACTTAAGGTTTAACTCTTGATATAAGTAAATGGAAAAATGCAGAGTAATAGAAAAAGCGGATATTTGCATTAAAACAATAAGTTTAAAAAAAAAACAAAAAAAAAAAACATACGAAGAATAGGATTATAACATATTTTCCAAATGCTTATGAATAAATATATTTTAGTGATAAATATGTATTATATTTTAAAAATCCGGTAAACGACTTTATCACAATACCAATCGAATTGTTAGGTGTTGGCTATGCGATCTGCCTGATCGACATTTATATGGGAATGTACTACAACACTATTATTGGATGGGCGGTGTACTATCTCTTCGCCTCGTTCACATCCAAGTTGCCGTGGACGTCCTGCGATAATCCTTGGAACACGGAGAACTGTATGCAGGTGACCAGTGACAACTTTACGGAACACGCCACCTCACCAGCCAAGGAGTTTTTCGAGTGGGTACCCCTAGATAAGTAACCCTATAGATCACATCCTCAAGCGACTGATTCACAGGCGAAGGGTTCTCGAGAGCTACAAGGGCAATGGACTGGATTACATGGGTCCGGTGAAGCCAACCTTGGCACTTTGTGTCTTCGGGGTCTTTGTACTAGTGTATTTCTCCCTTTGGAAGGGCGTTCGAAGTGCCGGAAAAGTTGTCTGGGTCACAGCCCTGGCTCCCTATGTGGTGCTGATCATCCTCCTGATTAGAGGCGTTTCACTGCCCGGCGCATACGAGGGTATCATGTATTATCTAACCCCCGAGTGGCACAAGCTCAAGAACTCCAAGGTTTGGATCGACGCCGCATCGCAGATATTCTTCTCTTTGGGCCCGGGATTCGGAACCCTGCTAGCCCTTTCCAGTTACAATAAATTCAATAACAATTGCTATCGCGATGCCCTCATCACGAGCAGCATCAACTGCCTGACCAGTTTTTTGGCCGGATTCGTCATCTTTTCAGTTCTGGGGTAAGTTTGCTATACACACAATAAAAAGAATTTTCCCGTAAAATCGATATGGCCATGTAAATTTAATGTCATGCAAAACCCATATTCGTTTTTATATGAAATACTCTTTTCGACCAGTTCAAATTTACCTAGCTGCGTATCAAATTAAAATTTATTTTAAATAATGTAAAATCGATCTATGTTTTAAATCGATTTTTTTTTAATGATAAGATTTGTATAAAACAAAAAAAAAAAAAAATAGATTTTTGACTTTCAAAATACTATTTTAAATTTGATCAAAATTCTAACTTTCCAGGCTTTAATATAAATTTTATTTTTTAAAGTTACCGATAAACTGAATCAATTTATATTTATTTTTTTATTTTTTTAAAAATAACGTTTCAAATGCTAGTTTAAAAGAGTGTCCTTTTAATCAACTTGTAAACCATAGATTAAATAATATTCCCTAAATGTGACCTATCCTCTTACAGCTACATGGCCTACGTGCAAAAGACCTCCATCGACAAAGTGGGCTTGGAGGGTCCCGGGCTGGTATTCATTGTTTATCCGGAGGCCATTGCCACGATGAGTGGTTCGGTGTTCTGGAGCATTATCTTCTTCCTGATGCTGATCACCCTGGGACTGGATAGTACCTTCGGGGGATTGGAGGCGATGATTACGGCGCTGTGCGACGAATATCCGCGAATGATTGGCCGGCGAAGGGAACTGTTCGTCCTGTTGCTCCTGGCCTTCATCTTCCTGTGCGCCCTGCCCACGATGACCTATGTGAGTATAGTACTCGGGGATTCGGTTAATTAACTCCTAAGCACGCCTAATACATATGCATGCATGTCCAACTGGCCCATTTAACGCTCCATCTAGCGCTGATAGCAACCCCCTTTTAAATATGCCAGCTGGATGTCGATGGATTGCCGTGTTAAGTGCTTTTTATCGTCCGCCAGTTAATCTCCACACACTCCCACCCCATCCTCTCCTGCATTTTTATCACCTGTCAAGAGCAGTGGGCTTGTTTGCCTTCAACCTGGTCAAACAACCACCGACTCCTGCAGCCAGAGCAACAGCCAAGTTCTTCCTCCCGCCACTTTATCTGATTACATTTGAAATTGTAATTTGCTGCCTTCTTTATTCCTGCCCGTCCTGGTCACTTGGCCACTTGGAGTGACCAGTATCGGTCAAGGGATCAAGCTATTCAATAACTCAGCCCACGGCCATTAATCAGTGCCAGTTAGGAGGAAATCTGTTGAGTGGTGGTCTTTTTAGAGGACCAAAAGTGTTGAGATATGCCAGCTTATGCCAAGAATCTATTAAAAAAGAATCAATGCTAAACTTCGGAAATATTACCTGGCCGCATATCAATTTCAAATCTATATTACATAATGTAAAATCGATCTACGTTTCATATCTATATTTTTTGGGTGTAGTTAATAAAATAATATAGTTTTCTTAAACAGAAACCATGCGAAATGAATCCTACAAACAAAAAAACATGTTCCCGTAAAATCGATATGGCCATGTAAATTTCAGGTCAATCAAAACCCATATCGTTTTTACATGAAATACTCTTTTCGACCAGATCAAGTTTACCTCGCCACAGATCAAATTAAAATTGATTTTAAAACATGTAAAATTTTTTTTGGGTGGATAACTGGACCCGTTTGTTTTACAATTCAATTTCTTTTCAGGGCGGAGTGGTGCTGGTAAATTTCCTGAATGTCTACGGACCCGGGTTGGCCATTCTTTTTGTTGTCTTCGTAGAGGCAGCCGGAGTCTTTTGGTTCTACGGAGTAGATCGCTTTAGCTCGGATGTGGAACAGATGCTGGGCAGCAAGCCAGGTCTCTTCTGGCGGATCTGCTGGACCTACATTAGTCCCGTATTCCTGCTGGTAAAAAAAGAAAACTAAATATAAATGCAAAAAATAATAATAACGACATCCTCACAGACCATCTTCATATTCTCCATCATGGGCTACAAGGAGATGCTCGGCGAGGAGTACTACTATCCGGACTGGAGCTACCAAGTGGGCTGGGCCGTCACCTGCTCCTCGGTGCTGTGCATCCCCATGTACATCATCTACAAGTTCTTCTTCGCCTCGAAGGGCGGATGCCGCCAGAGGCTGCAGGAGTCCTTCCAGCCGGAGGAGAGCTGCGGATCGGTGGTGCCCGGCCAGCAGGGCACCTCGGTGTGACATGACCACGCGCAGGTCCACCTCAACATCCGCACCAGCTGCACGAACATCAAGATCTACAACCTTAACTGCAGCAGCAACAACAGTTTGTCACCAACAACCTCAGTGGCCGTCGACGGGAGGAGCTGCCACGGCGCCGCCTTCCACTCAAACAATCTCAACGTCTGCTGTCAGCCGGAGGAGCAGAACAGGAGCCGGCAGCAGCAGCAGCAGTATCAGCATCAGCATAGGATCAGCAGCGATATCATTAGTGCTAGTCTTAGGCAGTCGCATAGCCATAGTTTAAGCCTCTGCTCGGTGCAGAGCAATCCCATGATGAGCACCCGGATTCCACTTGCTGCCGAGGACAATAACTGCTCGCTGAGACTCAGCAGCTGCCAGCCGCTCAAGTTTCCGCTGGCCAGCGAGTGGCTGGTCTAAGGAAAGCTTCCCACAAGGGAAGGGGGTCCTGCAAAGCAGCCATTTTGCAGGACTCCCCGTGCACAATATATCATTAGCGTAATGGAACTCAACGTTTAATCTAGTTTGATTGCTTCGCAAGCACATAGTGAACCTAAGTATTCTGGTAGTCCACTTAGCCCTAGTTCGTAAGCGTTAACTAGCTCAGCTGTAAGTCAAGTGAAATTTGGTAAAATGCTTTCTAAGCAATAACTGCTCTAAGATAGAGAACGCCCTGTACAATGCATTACTCAAAAGTTTTCCGGCGCGCGGGAAAGGCAATTGTAAGACAGCCATTTACATTGCTTTTCCGGCGCGTTTAATTTGTTTTTTGAATATAATTTCGGTTTTACGAAATAAGAAAAAACAGACAACTGTCCTGGTTTTATTGGAGTGGAATTTCGCCATCAGCTGCCGAGAGAAGTTCCTTCAGGCAAACAATCAGAGTATTTAAATTATTTAATTTTTAATTACATAAACTTGCCGTTAGTTAGTTACGCGTAGCTGGCGAAATTATAAAGAGGGAGCTTGATTTCAATGGGGACAATGAACGGTGAATGATTCTCTGAGAGGCCACTGCATCCTGGAGATGTTGTTCCCGGTTCCTGGAGGCCGCTACTCCTGCGGCCCCTGCTTCTTTCGCTTGCGGCGGGGCCTGCGCTTCTTTTTCTTCCGCTCCTATTTGCGCGCACCCTTGCCGCCTTCGTCCTTGCCCTTGTCGGCCTTCTCCTCCGCCTTCTTGCCGTCCTTGGTCTCCTTGTTGTCCTTGTCCTTGCTCTCCTTGTTCTTCTCCTTGCCGGCCTCCTTGCTGTCGCTCTTGCCCTCCTCGGCGTCGCGGTTCGCCAGCTTGTTGTTGATCAGGTTGTGCAGGGCGATGATCGAGCGCACCATGGAGGCCAGGTAGACGACCAGCATCTGGTCGTTGGTCTTCACGTACATGGTGCCCGTGAACTGGTCGTTGGTGATGTCCGGCAGCAGGTTGAAGATGTCCTGCAGCTGGTAGACAATCTGGTGGTTGATGGGCATCTTGCTTTCGCCGACGCGCTGCAGATACTGCTTGATGTCGCGCAGCTGTGCATTGAGTCCTTTGAGGCCCATCAGCTGGTTGGTGATCTTCTGCGACAGGCTGCCCACGGTGGTGTCCTTGATGTCGCGCAGCAGATGCTCCACGCCCACCTCCTCCGCCTCCTCGGCGCCAATCTCGCTGGGCACATGCTCGAAGGTCTTGCTGGTCGGGGAGCCGTCGTCGTGGACCTCCTCCACGGATATGTACGCCTCGGTGGGCAGGCCCAGATCCTTGGGCTTGGCGTCGATGATCACCAGCACGGAGTTGGGACAATAGCGGCGCACCAGCTCGTTGATGGCGATGTCGTTCTGGTGGAGCTTGGGACCCGTGTGATACCAGCCCACAACGCGTTCCCTGGCATTGACCTTCTTGAACATGCCATACATGTTCTCCAGGTAGTCGTGGTCCAAGAACCACACCGACTTGTCCTTGTCGTCCTCGTCGAAGGGAACTGTTTGGAAAATGGGGGGTTATCTGCTTTAGAGGCCATGTTTTTGGATGTTTTCAGATGCACTACTCACCCGCAAAGCTGTTGGACACATCAAGGACTCCCTTGGAGCGCCAGCAGCCCAGGAGGACGCCCACCACGCGCTTCTGGTTGCCGATCTTTCCCATCCGATTGAAGTGATCCACCACGGACAGCAGCACCAGTGGATGCACTATCACTTTGTTTACGCTCACCTCCGCCGACGGCATGTTTGTGTTTTTGTAAGGTTTTCGCTTCGGGGTTTTCTGTGTCGTCTGCACCGCTTGCTAGGTGCCAGGCTGCTCTGTTTTTCGAGGGGTTTTCCTTCCTGGAACTATTGTATTTCGCGAAATACCTCCAATTTGCGGCAAAAAATTCGGGCCGAAATGACAAGCAGAAACGTTTTGCAGTAGAGCTGGGGTAACTTGCGATAGTATCGATAAATGGAATATTTGTGTTTTGCGCACATCTAGTTTTCAGTTTCGATAGTACATGAATAGCCCTTATAAGGAAATTTAGTGCTAGGTTTTGAAAGTTTTTGCTTTATAAATCGATATAAATATATATCCTTTATTTTTCCTTGTTACTTAAATTTTAATTCGGGCTTTTGCGATACGCTCTACCCATAAGGAATGTACTCCTTTGGAAGAATCCTTTAAAGTTTAAACAGAGCTGCCAGATTGTCATTTCTATTTCTAGTTTTCTCGTACCGGGTTTATTTTCAAGAATTTCGGGGGAAATTCCATGCAATGTTATATTTTTGTAAAATTGAAAGTAAAAAAAATGTCAAAGAACATAGTGGTATGGTTATATAATAATGAGTTCAATATTACATTTTTGTATAAGCCATTTTTATTGTAAGCTGTAATAAGAAATATTAAATATGTTTTTAAAAACTTATTGGGTCTTCAACATCAAGGAAAGGGTATTTGAAGTTCGGCATACAGGGCACCAAATCTACATTTGTGGCATTTAGACGGTAGCGGCGAACGGTCACACAGTGCTTTTAGGAAAATCGTATCATGAGAGGAAAAGCGCCGTGCAAACAGTTAGAAAGTGCGCAATCGGACAGCGGAAGTGCGAAAAAGAACGGTCAGTGACGCTGCCCCAGCCGTTGGCCAGCTAATTAAGCAAAGTAATTAGGCCGCGGCCGATTAAACTAATTATTTTCCCCGCCTGAGCCTGCTTGTGTGCGTGTGTGTGTGAGTGTTGTTTTTGCCCTTGGCGAAGGCAAATAGTGCTGCTCTCCTCTGGCACAGATGACCTAAACGGCCATTTTTGCCGAGCGTTGCCAGACAGCCGAACAGGGTGCAATCGCGGCACAGTGGCAGCACCAAGCGTTTGCGCGAGAGAAATTTCCAAGCATTTTCTCGGGGGAAAGGAAAATACGTTTTAAAGGGGTTTAGCGTGCGGTAAAAACAGTCGAAATAGCGATAGTGCAGTGATTGATAAAGCCGCCGACCGCAAAAGTGAGTGTGCGGGCGGATGAGGTAATTCCCGATTCGGATTCCGATTGCGTGCGTCCCCAAGTTTCACGCCCATTCGCCGACTTCATTGGCTCCGTAATCATCAATTCATCAATGAGATGTTGATTTTGGCCAAAATCGCGATATGTGCGCGTCTTGTTTACAAATTAGTAACTAAAAAGTGAGGATTAAATCCGCCCTAGACTAATTGTTGACTTTGCTCCATGCAAATCGCGCAGTTTCGCCGAGATTTGGCCAATTTAAGTGGTGCCGCAGGCGAGGGGGGAGGAGGGGCTTTTTAAGCCCAGAGACCAGCTCACAAATACCAATGCGCCAGAGCAGCACACTTACGCACACACTCGCACTGCGCTCTTTTGTCTACGTCTTTGACTTTTTCTCGTTTGTAATCATTTTCCTCCCATTCGTACGTGTTTTTTCTACAAATATTAGAGCTCTCGAGCTGCTAATTAAATTATAAAACATACAGAATACAGAAGCGCTAAAGACGGGGCCGAAACCAAGCCCACAATCCCCGCTTGCTGGCCTATTTCGCCAAAGAAAAGAGAAGGAACCTCTGAGGAGAGAGTGCTGAAAAGAAGGTGAGTTTGGAAAAAAACTAGGCTATACTATATTCTATATTTCAAATATTCTAGACTTGGCCAGTCTAATACTAAGATTTCGCTTTGAAAGCCTGCCAAGTCTTTGAAAAACACCTGTCCCATCAATAAACGCTTGCCAATGTCCGCAGCTTTCACCAAATCTAGTTTGCCTGCTTGGACTCTCGCCCAGGAGCTCACTATGTAGACTCAAGAAAGCCCAAGAAATCATCATCATCGTCAGCAGCAGGGGAAATCTACACAGCCAGCATGTCGTTTATCACGAACCTGAAGAAGGTCTTCCACCTCGGCGGGGGTGAGGCCAAGAAGAAGCGCCTGTACAACAACATCAAGATGGACACGGATCCGGCGGAGGTCTGGGAAATGGTGGGTGAACTGGGCGACGGAGCCTTCGGGAAGGTCTACAAGGCCCAGCACAAGGAGCACAGGCGCTTTGCCGCCGCCAAAATGTGCCAGCTGGAGGATGAGGAGAACCTCAGCGATCACATGGTCGAGATCGATATTCTCTCGGAGATCAAGCACCCGAATGTGGTGGAACTGTACGAGGCCTTCTCTATTGATGATAAGCTGTGGGTGAGTATCTAACTGGGGTTCTTTGTATATAAGAATCCTGAATAATCCCTTGGAAATCCCCCACAGATGCTCATCGAGTACTGCGACGGCGGAGCCCTGGACAGCATCATGGTGGAGCTGGAGAAGCCCCTGACTGAGCCGCAGATTGCCTATGTTTGCAAGCACATGACCGAGGGTCTCACCTTCCTGCACCGCAACAAAGTCATCCATCGCGATCTGAAGGCCGGCAATGTGCTGCTCACCATGGAGGGTGGCGTTAAATTGGGTAGGTCTAGGAAATATCCCCCATTTAATCACCTTTTTATTATCATTTCTATGCTTTCAGCGGACTTTGGTGTCTCGGCCAAGAATAAACATACTATGCAAAAGCACGACACCTTCATCGGCACTCCCTACTGGATGGCACCCGAGCTGGTGCTCTGCGAAACGTTCCGGGACAATCCGTACGATCACAAAGTGGACATCTGGTCACTGGGCATCACGCTCATCGAGCTGGCCCAGATGGAGCCGCCCAACAGCGAGATGTCGCCCATGCGGGTGCTGCTAAAGATTCAGAAGAGCGAGCCGCCCAAGCTGGAGCAGCCCTCCAGGTGGAGCAAGGAGTTCAACGACTTCCTCAAGAAGTCCTTAGTCAAGGTGGGTAGCTCTATTGTCCATAAAGTTACTGAATTCTTTAACTGGTTATGTGATTTGTATCCCCAACAGGATCCCCAAGTGAGGCCCACGACGGATGTGCTGATGCAGCATGGCTTCATCAACAGGAATCTGGACGCCAAGCCCATCAAGGATCTGCTGCTCGAGTACAGGGCCGAGGTCGTGGAGGAGCTGGTGGACGATGAGACCGAGGTGAGTGATCCCCCGATGCCCTGGTATCCCTGTGCCCTGCACCACCGCACCCTTGTAGTCCAATTGCTAGACGATGATCTGATCTCTACGTTCTCTCACCTCTCCAACTGCTCTTTCTTCTCTCTTACACGCTGCCGCCTCAAAACCCAACCAATATCGCACCGCGCGATACATTATTTTTATACGTTTATCTTGGTTTTTTTCTCGACTATTCATTGCCTTGCGTTTATGTTACGTTCCGTTTGTTTTTGTTCTGCCAAAATGTCGCAATGTTTGTTCTTATCACTTGTATGTGTGGCTACTTGGAAATAATTGATATAGAAGCTTAAACGCCAAGTGAAGCGGCGCTCGCTCTATCAGAGGGTTGGTAAGTCGTTCTACAGCAACCAGTCCGTGCTCCGTCCGTTCCTGGCACCCGCACCCCCCGCCACCCCGCTCCCCGATCCGCCACTGCATCCCAGGCACTGTCCTCCAAAAGCGGGCGCACAATTAGTTTACTTATTTTATCAGCATTGCCAAATGGCGCTTATCACTTAGCTCCTCCGCTGAGTTTGTTTCTCCGTAAGCCCTTGCTATCGGTTTCTTGCGGTAATTATAGCAAGCACACTTTCAATCACACTGGGTTTTAAATTACTAATCAGTCTGACCAGCAGATAGCTGACAAAAGTGTCAGTTTCACTATCTATAAGCTCCTTACCTCAAGACTTAGATACTGTTTATGGAGCAATAACAGATGGAAATTGCCAACAATGCGTTCAGAGCTCAACGTCGGATGTAAACAAATTCTTTTGGGGTTTAAAAATAGGAATTACTCACATTTTCGGACTGTTTAAAACGATAGTATGCAAATTCGGCATGCCGAATGTGGTTAAAAAGTTTGTAGTTTGGCTTGCCAAAGTAGTAAAACTCAACTGCTAGCTATACTTTAGGAATTGCTATTATTATCGATATGCTAATGAGTGGTTTTTAATCTTCCATAGGAACCCCGCAACTCGGCGCTCCAGCTCGACCTGGACGATGACTCTGCTTCGCTGCAGAGCCAAGACATTGACAAACGTAAGTTCTTAAATTTATATACTTAAAAGGCCCCACTCATGATAAATTCCCCCTTAAAGTTCCAGGTACACCTACATCCATTTTGCGGGATGCCAAAGAGCAGTCCCAACCAAGTAGCAGTTTACCAATCGCAGCAGCGGCAGCGGCACCTGCAGCAGCAGCTACAACCACAACTAAAGCAACCACTCCGGACAGACCAAACCACACAAAGGATGACAATGCTGAAGCGGCAGCCCAGCAGCCGCCGCATACCAAAGTGCCTGCTCCAGCGCCTCCGTCGTCGTCGTCGTCGTCCCAGCAAACGCCACCACCGCAAGTCCAGCAGCCACCCACTCCACCAGCCCAAACCACAGCGGCCGTGCTGCAAAAGAAACCCGAAGATGTGGCAGCTGTTGCAGAGGCAGCTGAAAAAACCGAATCCGACAAGAAGGTAAGAACAACTGATCTGATTTAATTATATAAACTGATTTTAATACTTCTTTTTTTCCTTCAGCACTTTGTCAAAAAGGAAAAGGGCAAAGCCCCGCCCCCGCCGTCACCTTTGGGCCTTGCCAATGCCAAGCCGCCTGCCAGCGATAACCAGACATTATCTCCCAAAAAGCTGGCCACGCCCGAGCCCATCTCCTCGCCAGTCACCACGGCCATTGAGGTGGCCATTGGCCAGGAGGCGATGGACCCCAAACCGCAGCCGCCCTCGCCCACAGCCTCCTCCATTGTGTCTGTGCAATCGGTGGCCTCCTCCTCCGCCAGCTCCTCGGGCAGCGTCTCGAATGCTGTGCTCAGTTCGAGCACTTCCCTGATCACCATCAACAGCGATCCACCCACACCGCAGCATCAGCATCAACAGCTGCCGCCTCTGCAAGCGCAGCACTTGGTTCTGCCTAATAGCTTGGAGTCGGTGAGTCAGATTACCGTGGTGACCAGCACCCATCCGCCGGTGATTATCGACAACTCGGTGGTGCCGCCGCCACAGAACGAGGTGGTCATCGTGTCCAACGATCTGAACAAGAGCACTCACCTGCACGAGTCGTCGACGGACGACGACTTCCCCTCGCTGGACGACAGCTTGGGCGATGCCAGCACGCCGCCCCACAAGCAATCCTCCATGATATTGGCTGTGAATGAGCCGGCAGCTCCTCCGCCGCAGCCGCAGAACTCCTCCACTGTCCACGCCCGCAAGCTGGACGAGAGTGAGGTGCTGATTGTGAGTCCCTCGTATGCGGATGACGATTCGGCGTATAATACGGCCTCGGGCAGTCACAGTCACGACCACAGCGACCATCTGATGGACACCAGCCACGTGTCCGTGGTCACCGTGGGCGATGAGGTGGTCAAGGTGAAGGACAGCAGCAATGGAGTCGTCGGCATCGTGCCCGAGGACGTGAACATCATTGTGAACCGGTTCAAGCACGAGAAGCGATCGCCGGACAGCTCGCTGAGCGAGAATGGCTCGAATGGCTCGGTGCGCGGACGCCGGGGCATTGAGGTGCTCGTGGGCGGCGGCAGCGGGGGATCCGACGTGGACAGCATTGGCACCAACACTAGTCAGGACAGCCGGCACGAGACGGATCACAATAACAAGCAGCAGCAACCGCCGGCGTCTGTGCTAATGCCACCGCCGCCGCCCTCGGTGACGAATAATAACCACAACCATGAGACCATTGACGAGGAGGAGGAGGTGGTGATTCGGCCCAAGACGAGGGTTCCGCCCGTGGTCAAAGGAGTCAATGCGCAGGGCCTCACCAAGGAGGAGATTGAGCTGCGCAATCTGCGCAAGAAGACACGCAAGCGCACCCGCAAATTCGAGATCGATGGCGTGCAGATGACCACCACCACGAGTCGGGTGATCTACGGCGACGATGAGAACGGACGGATCTACGATGACCACGACTTCCGCAAGCAGGAGCTGCGCGAACTGAAGATGCTGCAGAAGCAGGAGAAGAAGCAGCAGACCGAACTGTACGTGAAGGAGCAGCAGGCCAAGGAGCAGCAGGATCGCCGCTTCGAGCAGGAGCGTTCCTCGCTGGAGAAGACCTACGAGGCGGACATGGACATGCTGGCGCGCCAGCACAAGCAGCTGGTGGAGAAGACGGAGCAGACGCAGGAGAACGAGCTGCGCTCCTCGTCCAAGCGCATTCGCTCCGAGCAGGAGCAGGAGCTGAAGATCTTCCGGGAGAACCTCAAGCAGGAGATCCGGCTGCTCAAGCAGGAGGTGGACCTGTTCCCCAAGGACAAGCGCAAGGACGAGTTCAAGCAGCGGCGCTCGGCCATGGAACTGGATCACGAGGAGAAGGAGCGCGCCTTCCTCGATTCCCTGAAGGAGCGGCATGAGCTTCTATTGCGACGGCTGAGCGAGAAGCATCGCGACCACCTGGCCACCATCAACCGCAACTTCCTGCAGCAGAAGCAGAATGCGATGCGGACGCGGGAGGCTCTGCTCTGGGAGTTGGAGGAGAAGCAGCTGCACGAACGCCATCAGCTTTCCAAGCGGCATGTGAAGGAGCTCTGCTTCATGCAGCGCCACCAGATGATCATACGGCACGAGAAGGAGCTCGATCAGGTGAAGCGAATGCTGCAGCGCAAGGAGGAGGACATGGTCAAGAAGCAGACGATGGAGAAGCGAGCCCTGCCCAAGCGAATCCGAGCAGAGCGCAAGGCACGAGACCTAATGTTCCGTGAATCCCTACGTATTTCCACGAACCTGGATCCGGATATTGAACGCGATCGCTTGAAGAAGGTATATCACAATGGTACATCATTAAAGTGTCCTTGATCTAATCTCCTTTTAAATTGCAGTTCCAGGAGCAGGAGAAGAAGCGCTACATGCAGGAGGAGCGACGATTCGAGGTCAAGCATCAAAAGCAATTGGAAGAGCTACGCGCCACACGCGAAAGCGCCATTAAGTAAGTGATCAGACTGAAGGAATACTCTCCTATCCCGTACTTACTCTACATCCCTCTACAGAGAACTGGAGCAGCTGCAGAACGAGAAGCGAAGGGCTCTGGTGGAGCACGAGCACTCCAAGCTATCGGAGATCGATGAGCGACTGAAGGGCGAGCTGCGCGAGTGGCGCGAACAGTTGGTGCCCCGCAAACAGGTGTGTATGCCCCATCCCCATTCGAGATCCGCCCAAGAGCTTTCTTTCGTTGGTGTTATGTGTTCTTTTTCTAAATGTACAAAGTAGATCAACTCGTTTGATATAAGTTGGTAATGATACCTATTGTATATTGATTGGTTTACGGTGAACTGTGGTGTCTTGTGCTCTCCTATTTTCCTTAAAATGAAACCCATCCCGACCAGTTCCGTCAAATTTGTGCGGCTTGGAGATGAGCAATATCCGGGATGGACTATCTAGGTGTATAGTTTAATTGTCTTTACCCAACCGATTTGTCATTCAATCAATACGCTTCTGACTCATTTGCTGGTGGGGTAATTACAAAGTGAGACAATGAATCATCGGTAAGCTGATCTATTTTGTATTCTGTGGTGCGATGACAACGACAACGACTGACAAACATCCCGTAGCTCATCTTTAAGCCGATGCAACTTGACCGAACCAAGGCTGAACTTAATCCAATTATTTTTTCAACTTTTTCTCTCTCTTTACACCCACGCAAATGCATTCACTTTGGTGGCCTACTGTACCTACTACTACCTACAAAACTAAACCAAAAAAAAAACCGAAACTGATAAAAATTAAACCAAAAATATATGCTTACCGCTGTGCTTCCCAACTACTAACCAAAAAACCAACCAACCAACCGATCAACGGACTTGGTCATGCATGTGTTTAACTACCAAATTGAAACGAGCCTAGGAGCTGAACCAACTGATCAAGCTGGCCATCGATCAGCACGAGAAGCGCTTCGGCCTGGTGGCCAACAGGGAGGAGTTTGAGGATCAGGAGGTGGAGCTGCCCGTGCGCCTGCGCAACATCTACAGCGAGCGCTCCTCGCGCATCCTTCCGCGCCACACCTTCATCGATCCCCAGCACTTGCCGCGCTCCCGCTCCTCGCTTTTGATGATGGGCGGCGGCGGCAGCCGGCTGTCCAACTTCCGCGGCTCGGCTCCAGACCTCAGCCAAAGTGTGCCCAGTACCCCCATCATGCACAAGCAGCAGCGATCCCAGATGATCAGCGATTTGGTGCTGGAGGAGGACGAGGAGCAGCTGCTGAGCGAACAGATGAAGCGGGCCAGCGTCACAACGCTGCCGGCACAGAATCAACTGCGCTTGATTACACACCTACCGTCGAACGAACTGGTCAAGGTGGTGACCTCCACTCCGCCGCTGAACAACGCGGAGGATGCGAGTGCCAAGCCGGCGATGAGCACTTTCAGGGGAGGCAGTACGTCGCCCAAGACACCAGATGACCTGGGCTTGGTCACCAACCGATTCAGCCGCCTGGATGCCAAGGCAGCGGCAGAGGCCAGCAACGTTGAGCTGCGCATTCACGAGGGTCCCGTGCTGACGGCCCACACGCAGCGCCTGCTGCACACCACATCCTTTGCCATCAAGCGACCCTCGCTGGCCAGCCGGAGCAGCGGCCGATCCTCGCTAAGCAGCGCCCAGTCGATGTTCAACATTAATGAGCTGTCCACGCGGTTCGCCAGCGATGCAGACCTGATCTTCGATTCCGGACGCAAGGCAGCCGCCCTGTTGGACGAAGTGCAGCCCCAGCTGAGGTCCTCGGTTAAGCCGGGACACAGTCGCCTCAACGGAAGCGTGGCATCGGCGGACTCGGCCGCCTCCTCCGAGGATTTCTACTACGATCTGTATGCGGCCAAGTACAAGCTGCCGAGGGTCAATCAGCGGCAGCACAGCTGCGAGGAGGATTCCTCGGCCATCTAGGAGGCGAAGGAGATGCAGAAGGATCATCGCGATCAGCACTTGCCACGTTTCGCAGCTTCCAAATATACTAACCAGTCAATCAAACCTGTACTCACACCTACTAACTGCAAATCAACCTGATTTTCATCCCTCGCTTGGTGCTGGCTAACTGCACATCCCTCGTAGTCTCAAACCCTTTCCCAATTCATCTTGCTAACCGAATTTGTAAAGCTTTTCCCCATCCACTTAACGCTCTGCATCGGCGATAGCCATACATTCTGTCTTGCCAAAAGTTGATTATGTTTGTTGGAAATGCTATTTTATTGAACGAAAAGTGGATTACTTGTTTGCCTATTTTTAATGCTAAAGTATTTTCTTGACTTGGATCAGCCCTCCGCCTCCAAATGCATTCCATTTAAGCAGTATTATCGAAGTACTTAGTAAACGAAAAATGAAAACAAAGAGAATAATAAAGAATACAATCAACATTCCACTTAGCAACATGCCAAGCATTTGTGTAGCCATATCTTACTCTAAACATTCTTATAACTATAGACATACAAATAAATATTATCATATCGCAAATTTCATGATGCTTCACTGTACACACCCACTATTACATATAAACACATGCAAACTTGCAATCAACAACAACGCGCTGCTATCGAAAACCAAAACAAAAACAAAAAAACCAAACCAAACCAAAAAATCTGTATCCAAAAACTTTTCTTGCCGGCTCTCCTCTTCTCGTAATGTGTAAAGCAACTACAGCAGCGGCTGCAACAAGAGGTTAGTCCTTTGATCTATCCCCAGTGTCCTTTCAAACTATGCTATGATATGTGGGGTTCCAGGCTCTGTAAATGGAGGTCGCATATCTGATGGTTCTGGGAGGCACTGTGTATTCTATGTATAGTTCTTCAGCTCTTAATGTCCTACTAATGCATGCGCTATGAAGCTAAACTTTCCTCCCACCCCTCTTCTATCTCTCTAACTTGATATTGTGATTTAGAATGAATGTTGTTGCCTAGTAAAACACACCCATGTTCTGTGAAATATTAATATTTATCCGATATTTTGAACCAGCGCCTGGAGGAAACCTTCGCCCAGCAGCTGGACGAAATGGAGACCCTGTACGGCGGAGCCCTGATTGTGTCCATGCCCTCGGACACGCTGCAGCGAGATCACTTCACCGGCTCGACGCGCAGCAGCCTGAGCTCGTATTCCGAGGGCTGAGGGCTGAAGGATGAGGGCCACGAACATAATGCCCGGGGACGACGGGAAGCCAGCCTGTCGAACCACCGGCAAACAAAGGAACTGCAAACTGCAGCGGCAGCAGCAGCAGCTATGACAGCTATGCAGAACGTAACAAAACAATTGTCAGCCATCCATTAAGGCTTCCGCCAGAGATTGAGCGCCTCTGCCTTTGCTTATATATATAGAGAGTATATATTTTAGATGGACATGTATGTATGTAAGTCGTGCCAAGCAGCGCGTCGGGTCAAGCTTAAGTTTTTTGTGTCGTAAAAGCCTATTGCATAAGTTTAATTTTATCATCTTTCAGTGTATGTTAGCCTATTGTTCTATTATTATTATTGTACATGTCTATCGATCTGTCGAAAAATCCAATGCGTTAGAATACCATATCTACGGTATACATGTCCGCATGTATATACATATGCATAGATGTACATATGTTATATGTGCACGAACCGTCGAGAGCAGAATTAAATTTACTTAATATTTATCTATGTTTAACACACCACACACACACACTCCCCTAAAGAGAAGGACAAACATACGTACGCCAAACAAATCTTTTTTGTTGACCTTATCGCTATTGTAAATATATCTATAAATATTTGTATCTTAACTATGCAACTTAACACACACACACTTAGAGACAGAGACACATCTACGGAAAAGTTTAGCAAAAGTTAATATGTGGCAACAGGAGAAATATGTGAGATGTTGGGATTCCATGAAACAAATTGTGTGAGCGCTCGAGTTTCGAGTTGCAGACGGACGTAGATATGCAGATGGATAATGAGAGGCCGTCGGGTAACGATAAAAGATATTTATATTTGTAAAAGTTTATGCTTATATATTTTATATAAATATATATATATATATATTTAAAATTAAACAAAAATAATATTCAACAAAAAAATATTAAAAAATAATAGAAAAATTACAAGAATGTATCTTTTTTTTGGAACTGAAGTGTATTATCTATATGATAATTACCCGGGACTCAGGCTCTATGGCTTTCTATAGCCTCACCTAAATCCAATTTAGCAAGATTAAATGGCAAACTTTGCCGTCGAAACTTCGGAAACTTAACTGCAGTAACTCAGCTGACTGGAAGCTTAAGTGTCGAAATGTCGGAAAATATGTCAGCACCAAAAATTGCTGTACTCTCGCAGGCATCGGCATCCCAACAAAAGTATCTGTTCACTGGGCTTGGCATTTCTCTGGCTAAGCGATGGCATGCTGTGCCTTTCGATTACATGGTCAACAGTGCGTATGGGCAACGTGGGCTTCCAAAGGAATTTTCCCGCTTCCTCGAGGGTTGTTACCGAATTCCGGCATATGGATGCATTGGCAACTGATAAACTCGACCTTCCTGCAGCACTCGTTTTCTGGCCATTTATTGCAGCAGTTCTTGGAACTGTCTTTTCTCAGGACCACGCCCTCGGCCCACTCGCAATCAATTCAGCCCCTAATCCGAGCTGGTCATCCCACATCCCCGTCCTCATCCTCCCAGTGGCACAGAGCTCTTACTCATCTTTCCCTTTGCATTGTCCATTTATGTATTTTTATATCATATATGATGGTATGACGAGCATACAGACCTTAGCACATGCCAAGCCCAAGGGGAAAGTGCGGGCCTGTCGGTTGCCAGGATTTGGATGGGCGACGTAGGCGGGTGAACAAATGGTGGGGGGGTGTGGGTCACTGGGGCCACTGCCACTGCCATTGCCAGTGTCATGTCAGGCGCGTTAGATCCATTGTTGTCCAGTTTAAACGCAACATGAATTGCTATTAATAAAGCCAAGGCACTTGAGGGACCCGCTCGTAATTGGCAAAGGGTTCGAAGTTAAAATACTGTGATGTAATTAGCTTTTGGCGGATAATCACTTTTAGGAGAATTTGAGTTTTTATTACGAATTGTGAATTTTATAAAGTTCAGGTGGGGGAACCAAGTGAAGTAATGTTTAAAAATAATTTCTGGTAAACTTAAAGATTCATATTTTTATGGTACGTTTCATAAGGTTTTTTTTTCGAAAAATGCTCCTAAAATGCAGAAATAATGAAAAAAGAAATATGAAACTAAGGATTATATTATATATATTAACTTTTCATGGACAAATAAATGTTGAATACTGAAGGTCATGTCAAGAGGTATTTTGGCTTGATATGAAAAGTTTTTAAAATGACAAAGTATTTGAATACCCTAAAACAAAATATTTATTGGATAAATACTTGCGGCACCAATAAAGAAGAACTATTTCAACAGAATTTCGTTCGCATAAAACGGTAATGTGAAATATGGAATGTCATACGATGACATTTTATCCCCCTAATCAACCCCGAGGATTCACATGAATAAATAGCTAAGACTAAAAACATTTTGCTTATATTTCGCACAATAATTTAGTATATCACTTTGTCTTTTTCATTCAATAAGACGATTGTACTTACCTTGCTCTTCTATGAATAAAGAACCCTGCAGTTAAAATTGACTCAAAGCTGGCTCAAGTGGTTATTTTCCTTACAAATGTAGTGCCGGCCCGGAATGCCCATTGAACTGGCAATTGTGACCGTACGCCGCTGGTATTATTTAATTGAAATGTGAGAATGCGCTTTTCCAGCGATTCCACTTCACACGAACACCCTCGCAGCGGCACTCACACTAACGCGCCACACTTACACTCATTCGCCAGGAGTCCCATTGAAAAGTTGCCCGTGCTGTTGTTGGTGTTGCTGTTGGCACACTTGATGTTGCCATTGCTGCTGCAGATGTGGCAGTCGTAGATGCTGCCTGCTACAAAAGATGGCACTCGAGCAATGCCCGTGGGCCTCGTGCGGACTTGTCTTCGCCACCTGGAATTCCCCTAGCCCACTGGGCGTCCTAAGCCCCTCCCCCCACACCCGCCTCCCCACTTCCCCTGCTCAACCCCCTTTCAGTTGGACTGTTGCGGCGTTTTCATTCATATTCATCCATTAAGTTCCGCTGCCAGCACATTTTCGGCTGCACGCACACACTGGCATTCCATTTTCCGTATGTCCTTTGTGCGAGGGTGTTGGTAAAAGGATGCTCGCCAACAAACACAAATTCCAGCATAAAGAATTCGCGCGCTCACTCTCTCTCTCTCTGCTTTTCTTTTCTCTCTCCCGCTCGGCTGCTGCTGCTGCTGCTCGGCTTTCGCTCTGTATCTTCTCGGCTCCGTACCGTTATATACCTTGGCTGAAATTTTCAGCTTCAGTCCCGGATGAGATTTAGAAACGTGCGCTACAAACTCTCTCCCAGTTCCGCTGAAAATCATAGCTAATAATCGAGTGGAAAACAAAGCGCGTGCAAAAAGCTGCCAACGATTTCAAGGGAATTTTTGTACAACAAGCAATAATTAAATACATAAATTATAGCGAATATAATTAAGAGTTGTGTTGTGTCTGTAGAGCAAGCAAAAAAAAAAAAGAAGAAAGATAAAATAAAATAATAAACCCGATTTACAACAATGTTAAATGTGGAAACTTTTGGCACGCAACTAAAAACGGAGGCAGCGACGTCGGCGTCGCAGTTCGCATTGTGTATAATAAAATTGGCGAAAGGCGAAATGAATTGAGCAGGCAGTGGACCCAAAAAGGAGAGGCGGAGCAGCAGCGGGGGGCGGGGCAGCAGGGAGCGGCAGGATACGATACTAGAAAGCAGAAAGCCGAAGAAGATGTGCGCGCACAATACAAAAAATTACAAAGCATACTTTTGGGAGCGGCAAATGGCCAAAATCAACAGAAACAGCAAAGGCAACAAAAGCAACAGCAACACCAAGGCAGCGACGCCGGCAGCATCACTAAACCCAAAAACAAAAACAAAGGCAGCATCAGCAACAACAACACCAACAGCAACAGCAACAACAACAGCAGCGATGTCACCGTTACAACGGAACACTTACAAATAAGCAATAGGTTAGAGCAAGAGGGCACGAGAGAGCGCCAGGAGAGAGCAGTGAAAGCGAAAAAGAGAGCGAGCGCAAGTAAGTAAGTGAGAGCTCCCCAATGCATGTTTGTGTGTGTGCGTTGGCGGCGCTGTCGACGTCGGCAGCGCTGCTTTCTCCGTTTCCAGTGCTCTCGTTTTGATTAAACTTTGTGCGAGTAGGTCGGTGGGGCGCGGCTCAGCCACCCCCTCTCCCCCCACCACCACCCCCTCGACCTCTAGCCCTCTAGTTCGCACAACCTCACCCAAAGTATGCACGGCGAAAAAAGCATTTAAAACTGACTGAAAGTAGTTACTTTTCCTTGCAAAAAATGTTTTTATAGGTCCTTTTAAACCATAAATATCACAACATTTATGGAATTACTAAAGATTAAAGAAAGTGCGCTGCATTACAGTGAAATAACATTGAAAAGACCTAGTTTAGCTATCAAAAAAATAGTTTCTAAGCCACAAACATTTTTAAAATACCATGTTTTTCAAGAAATTCGAATAGAAATAAAAAAGTTTTTTTTAAATAAACTCTTTTTGATAAATTACTAGAAAAATAATATAATTGAAATGAGAATTAGCGATTTAATTAGACAATATTGGTTATGGGATACTAAAGATTTTTCTAAAACACCAAATTTCTCTCTGTGTGGTCACATTTCGCATGGCAATATGCTTAGCGGACAGCCGGAGCATAAGGTGAAAGCCAGTCCAGCAATTTAATTTCCGCAAACAAGCCAGGCAGCAAAGCACTCGCAGCTCGGACCGAGGAAAATGTGAAAAGCAGGCAACAGAAAACAGAAAAGCAGGCAACAGAAAGCAGCCAACAGCTCAGGGCATCCGCTTGGCATCAGCAGCCATGTGGCAAGCAATTAAACTCGCGCAAAAATTAACATAAGCCAGCAGAAAAGAAAGGAGAAATGGGCCCAAGTGAAAGACGGGGCGCTCCAAAGTATGCAAGCTAGTTGGCCTGCCCTTTCTTTCTTTCCGTTACTTTTTCGTGTGTGTGGGTGAGTGGGTGTGTGTAAATAGGCGTGAGCCAGTGTGTGTGCGCGTTGACAGAGCCCGCATAAAAAGAAGCGAACCAGAACGAGAGCGAGAATATCCAATGCAAAATAAAGCCGACTGTTGATGAGCTGATCAAAAATACACACTTTCGCAGACAGTGAAATTTGGCTAAATGAGAAAATACTTGGGAGATACTGTAAAACATACATATGAAGCATACAAACCCAGAAAAATTCAATACTTCAACTTTCGTACATTTGAAAATATATTTCTCGTTAAAAGGTGTCTAAAAGTATGCTAAGATTTTCATAAAAGTTCTTAAATGAAATTTATAAACATTAAAATACATTAAATATTTTTAAATTTCCATATTTTGTTAGGTCCCTTAGCTTTATGGCCATTTGTTCTTTTCCCCCAATTAGCAAATGAAAAGCATTAATCAATATTTCACTTTTCATTAAATCATTGGTTGCCAAGAGCTTAAATATAAGAACTGTGTCACCTGATCGCCTGTTAGCGCCTGATAAAAGGAAAATTTACAATCATCCACTGAGCTGCTGTAATTGACTGGCATTATTATTTATTTTGGCCAAGATAAAAAGGTAGATTTACAATTGGCGAGCGCGCATCTAATTATAAGCTGGTACAACTATGGGAACTAAAAAATAAAATGTGATTTGATTAACGGTTGCCCACTGTGTTTACTTCATCGTTCCACCAGCTCGTGGCGGTGTCATAAAAATAGCCTAATAAATGGCAAAACAAATCCTCGCGGGTCGCAGGTTGCTCACGCATGAGGATGTGTGTGTATCATATATGGTTACTTGTGTTTTTGCGCCCGACGCATTTGATAATAAATCCATAAATCCTTTTTTTATGGCAGCCAAAAAGCGAGGCACGGCAACAAGAAGCTCAATTCGATTACTTGCCAAAGGAGCGGTCGCCTGATAAATTTGAATGTAACATAAAGCGGACAGCCAGCAGAAGGGAAACAAATCGGGGAACTGATTACCAATAACTACATACACAGATAAAAAAAAGTTTTAGGATAACATTTAAATACACAAGCTTTAAGTAAAGCTTTAAATAATAAAATAAATAAAAAATGAGGAAACCTTTTTTTTTAAATACTAAAAACCAAAATATACTTTTATGGCTATAAGACCGATAAGGACATATTCAAAGTTTGAACGTCTGTATTTCGAGCAAACTTATCATAGAGATAGCATTTCCCATTATTATTTCTAGCAGTGTAGTTACGCCCCAGAAATCCGTAAGCTGACGTGGCCAAGTCAAAATCACGTAGCCGAGAAATAACGATGCAACTACTTTGGTCTCGAGAAACGAAACACAAAACAAACCCTCACTGTAAGGATAACCAAGTAGTATCGACTCGCACTCGACTCTGGCGATTTGTTTTTTTCATTTATTGGAAATGTGGTGCCCTCTCCATTTGTTGCTGAGGTTGAGGTTGAGTTGAGGTTGGGTTTGTTGTTGTCAATACGATACGTCGGCTCAATTTATGGCGCCCCATTGGTTTTGCCCATCTCCATCTCGCCTGTTTGTTAGCTTGTTTTGCAATTGATTTATACGTGTGTGCGTGTTTTCAATGAGATAAACAGACGGATTTTGATTGATTTATTGGTTAACGCTGCATTTAATTGGGCATCCATTGGAGTTATAGCCATAAATAGCCGAAAACAAGAGCAGAGGCAAAGCCCGTGGAAATTATCCATTGGTATTGATTGAGCTCGACAAGAGGTCAATTGAGCCGTCAATGTGCATATTTCAGTTATGATTTCGAGTTTGTAAATGTGATATTTCAATTGGTTTAATAATTGACGCAATTTGCATTAAGCTTGTCATTTGTTTAAATTCAGTCATGCGACCTAAAGTAGGCAATGTTATTTTTACTGGCAATTTACCTCTAATACCAATTGCTTTCAAGTAACTCAGGGCTTAAAACAACTGCAGTCAATCAAATTGTAATCTTTTTAGTTGCGAAAGGTAGCAGTTCACGACGTTTTCTTTACTGAGAATCCATTTAATTGCAGGCTTAGAGCAATTAAGACTGGAATTAAATATTCAGTGACAGTGAGTGACTTTAGCTCTTCATGTCCTTTAGTGTTGAATGCATTTAATCTCGGGCTTAAAATCAATGCACGTATTACAGCAGAATGTTGGATGTGTTACAGAAATAACATAGTTTTTAAAATCGGTTAAAAAGGTGCTTAAAAGTATGCCGAGTTAAAAACAACGTTGACTTTTGGAAAAGTCCATTGGGCATTCGTGTTTATTATACATTATACATTATAAAAACATTTAAAGGTGAATACTAAATTCCAGTCATTTCTATGGCATACTCGATTAAGAGGAATTTCCTGCAAATTATTACGTATACGTAAATTACTTCTCAGAACTTTATCCTATTTGTAGGCAACACTGGCTTTACCAGAAAATTATTATAAAACACTTCTGGTCAATTAACATTAAATCAGTTTAGATGGAAAATGTTTATGCAGTCCAGGTTGTTTACTTTACTGAGAATAGATTCAATGCCATGCAATTAAGACTAGAGCTGTCGTAAAAGAAGGAGCAGAAATTGAAAAGGATTAAGTGGTTTATGTATACTGACTTTTGCCTTTTTATGTTCCTATGTTCTTCCTTTCAATGCCATTAATTACAGACCTTAAACAAATTCTGAATAGGTTTCTCTGAAAAATATGGCGTATGCGTAAATTAGTTTTCTGGAATTTGACCCTTTTGTGGCGGGATTTCATAAAAAAGGGAAAACGCCCTGACCAATGACAATGGTGTAGCGAACACAATAACTTAGCAGGCATTGAATGCGAATCAATCACGGACATCTCATTGTGGCCCGTTCGCTTCACCACGTATCATGGCCTATCAATCAGGTGGCGTATGCGTAACGTGGCTTTTCATTACGGCCTGTGAAAAACTTTCCAAATCAAAGTCGCCGCGCACAATGGCTGCCAAATGAACAGGCCCCTCCTATTCCGCACTCCCAGATACACCAGATTCACCAGATATGTATAGGCATATGGCCAATGACAACATCAATAGTTTTGAAAAGTGTCAGAGGAAGCCGCCTGGAACATTTCCGTGCCAAAGTGTCGGGGCTCGCTGAAACAGCTCGATGCTCCTTGTTCGAGCCAAGTTCTTTCCTCGACTGTTGCACGGCCTGTTGTTATTTTTGTTATTTTTGTCGTTTTTGCCACCGCCATTGTTGGCAGAACAGTAATAAGCGAACAACAAATGTTGTGGGTGTGGCTGAAATGCCTGGCTGGAAATGGGAAACGGGTGGCTGAGGCCTGCCAAGGAAACGCATTCAAGCCGTTTTCATTTTCATTTACGTTTACATTTACATTTACAGTTTTCATTTCCATTAAAACAAATCACACAGAAAATGTCATTTTGCAGAGAGGACAAAGCAAGTCGGCCCCTGGCATTGTAAATATATTATTTCGCTTCCTCCCCCACAATTCCCACAATTCATTCCCTGCCAAGTTGAGATATATCAAAGGCCAGTGCTGTGGACAGTTTCTCATAAATCTCGCCATTCTTTTTCCCATGGCTCCTATTCGCATTCCCATTCGCAGTCGGGGGAGTCATGTGACTATATCTATATGCACTTGCCCCACCCAAAGCTCGAAGGTCTCAAGACGATTATAGTATAACCGCTGTGCTGAAGACTTTTTCGGTGCTTAACCGCCCAAGTTGGCTTATCATAATTATCGCTGCATCCAGTTGCCTCGCTGGGAATCTTCATTTGGTTAATTATTTCCACCGCAAGCTGTTCCTTTGGCTTGCCACCGACATCATCTGACATTTCCACATCTACTTACTTAATTTAATAATTTTCTCCGGCGCCACTTTACGGCTTATCCTTTAGCATCTATTTGAAGTTTATGACTCTCATTCAAAAGGCTGTAAATTCGTCAAGTTACGAGACGATTGAAAGGTTAACTATCAGGCAGCCAAGGAGCAGTTGTCGCTTTTGATACTTGAGTTGTATAAATGTAGGAGCTAAAAACATGCAATTTTATGCTTCTGGGAAAAAAAGTTGAAGAACTAATTCAATTTGCTGTTTTGCTACTGTAAATGATGATAAAATCATACAAAAAGGATAGAGCTTTTAAAGTTATCATCATAATTTCATATTTAATTTACGTAAAATATTCTGAGTTTTATAGGTTGCTTAGTTTTCATTTCAATAGAACCGTCTGAGTAATTATTTCAGGGTGTTTTCCGGTCGAACCGCTCTGTAATCCCCATCTAATACCCTCCATTTTATTGCTTGCAGGGTCTGGGAAAAATGGCCAACGCCTTGCGTGGGTGCAGCCAAAAGGACAAGCAGTCGATGGGGGAAAACTAAAGGACCAGCATTACACAGCGAGCGAGAGAGTGAGAGAGGGAGAGTGATAGAGAGCGAGCGAGAAATATAGAGAATCGTAATCCTTGCAGCTGCAAAGCAGATAAAATCACGTATCCGCCATGGAGCCGGTGATGAGTTTGGCATTGGCCGCCCACGGACCGCCCAGCATACTGGAGCCGCTGTTTAAAACCGTAACCACGAGCACAACGACCACCACGACCACGACGACGAGCACGACGACGACGACGAGTAGTCCTGTGGCGGGATATTCGCCAGGATATTCGGGCGGGGGCACCACCCTCCTGACGGCCCTGCTCGAGAATCTCACCTCGACTGCGGCCAGTGGGCTATACGATCCCTATTCCGGGTTGTATGGAAATCAGACAAACGGAACCATGGGCTTTGAGACGAAGGGACCGCGGTACTCCTTGGCATCCATGGTGGTCATGGGCTTCGTGGCGGCGATTCTGAGCACGGTGACGGTGGCGGGCAATGTGATGGTGATGATATCCTTCAAGATCGACAAGCAGCTGCAGACGATCAGCAACTACTTCCTGTTCTCGCTGGCCATCGCGGACTTTGCCATCGGTGCGATATCGATGCCGCTGTTTGCGGTGACCACCATACTGGGCTACTGGCCCCTGGGTCCCATTGTCTGCGACACCTGGCTGGCCCTGGACTATCTGGCCTCGAATGCCTCGGTTCTCAACCTGCTGATCATCAGTTTCGATCGCTACTTCAGTGTCACACGACCGCTGACATATCGCGCCAAGAGGACGACCAATCGGGCGGCCGTGATGATTGGCGCCGCCTGGGGCGTTAGCTTGCTCCTTTGGCCGCCCTGGATCTACAGTTGGCCCTACATCGAGGGCAAGCGGACGGTGCCCAAGGACGAGTGCTACATCCAGTTCATCGAGACCAACCAGTACATCACCTTCGGCACGGCACTGGCCGCCTTCTACTTCCCGGTCACCATCATGTGCTTCCTCTACTGGCGCATCTGGCGCGAGACGAAAAAGCGGCAGAAGGATCTGCCCAATCTGCAGGCGGGCAAGAAGGACTCCAGCAAGAGGTCGAACAGCAGGTGGGTTTAAATGAGCTTAGGGATCTGGGATTTTATACACCCAAATAAAAGTCATAGAAACTAAACTTTAGTTACATGAACTCTACACTATTGAGATCAGTATTAAATGAATACTTTTTAAAGTATTAGATTAAAACTTTCGTTATAGAAATTAAACTAAATCTAATAAGTATAAAATTTGTATTATTTAGTATTAGGTCAATATCACTTTTTATACTGATCTAGTATATTTTTAACACAGCGCTTAACACTTAAAATTTTTTTTTTTGGATGTAGGGGTGTTTTTTAATCAAATTTCAACCAATATTAAAATCTTGGTGTTATAAAACCCGTTTCCAAACTTCGATTCAAAAACAATTAAACTGTAGGCGTTGAAAAATGTAATCCTAACAATATTCCAGTATTTTTCTGAAGCAATCTTTTTTGTTGCACACCTTTTGAAGACCATATTTCCTTTTAATTTATAAAATTGGAAATTTATTAAAAATACCTAATCCCTATATTTTTTTAGTGACGAGAACACGGTGGTGAACCACGCGTCCGGAGGCTTGCTGAACTTTGCCCAAATGGGCGGCAATGATCACGACACCTGGCGAAGACCGCGCTCCGAGAGTTCAGCGGATGCGGAGAGTGTCTACATGACCAACATGGTCATCGATTCCGGCTACCATGGGATGCACTCGCGCAAGTCAAGCGTAGGATCAAAAAACCGAATATACCTCCTTCTTCCAAGTAATAATCCCAACTAATCCACAGATCAAAAGCACGAATACAATCAAAAAATCGTACACCTGCTTCGGCAGCGTGAAGGAGTGGTGCATCGCGTGGTGGCACTCCGGTCGCGAGGACTCCGACGATTTCGCCTACGAACAGGAGGAGCCTTCTGATTTAGGGTATGCAACACCAGTAACAATTGAAACTCCTTTACAAAGCTCCGTCTCCAGGTAGTAAAAACAATCAAAATTCTGAACTTTAATCGTCTATATTTCGAGTAAGCCGACACCGCACCAAAACTCTCTCTCACCCCTCAAAGTATTTCAAGTATGACTCTCCTCAAATGCACCAAGAGCACTTTTACGAAAATCAAACAAACAACCAGCACCCAAATATATATATATATATGCATATATGTAACTTCGATTTCCCGTCCAATGCCTGTGCACACAAACGAAAAGTGGCAGTGGTGGTGAAAAGTGACCAGCAATCCTTCACTGACCACCACGATGCACCAGTTTCACTCCATTCCCCTCCCCAATTCCACATCCATTCGAAATCCCCTCTACACACGCAAATCCATCAAAGTCGTAGCATCCAGCACTAAAATAATCCACGTAGATGGAGGGCTTTGCACCACTGCACACACATCGGGCATCGGGATGGAAACAGAAACTGGTACTGAAACTAATTGAGGCTTACAGTCCATAGGAGTTGGCCATTGTGCAGTCGAGTTTGTTGATTCCCAAGATGTAATTAATTCATGAAATTGGATTTGGACAAGTGATAGTTTGCAGATTAGTAAGCAAATATCCTCTGCGGGCAAGGAGCCATTTTTGAATTTCAAATGCAATGATTCTTGTTGACAGAATGCAGTAAATAACTTAGGAGTAAGGGTTTTAAAATCTACAGAGATTTAAAATAACATTTAGAGCTGTAAGAGTAATGTATTTTAAACAAAAATGTAGAATATTGAAAGCACATTAAGGTGTCATTAGAAATTCTGATGTTTTGTGTAAGTACTTGAAACATCTACATTCCTTACGGAAACAAATACTCCGAAACACCTTTAAAGTCTGAAAACCACAATAATACATTTTATGGTTCTATTAATTTTTCTACAAATTGCAGTTAGGTTGTTTTACTTATAACTTACTTGAAAATAATGATAAGTTCCATTCTTACAACTTTAATTGTACCTTTAAATAATACTACATACTAGCAGTTTTTCAAACATTCGTTTAAATAGCTGGAAATTCTGTCTAATTAACCGCAGGTCGAAATTCCATTTGGAAAATGGCTTATTTATTCACAACACAAAATTGCGACCAAATAATTTCGCATAGATAGATGGGGAATAATTAGCAAAAACAAACAGTTGAATACATTAGCTAAAATGCAATTCCGTTTGCAATCTCTGAATGGCTTCAAAATGAATTAGCGAAAATGAGCTTTTTAGATGAATCTGAAATGTGTCGCCATTTAGGCCAGCCGACAAAATATGTGGATAGCCCACGCTTTATTATGGCCATTATAAAGTCAGAGAAACATGACATACGTATAGCCGACCGCTGGACTTGTTTCAATTTATGTGTGCCACTGGCATTCGGCTGGGTAATCGATTTAAGTTGCTACTTCCGGCCACTGGTTTCCACTCCCGAAATGCACTCTACACATGCATGATGTGATTTGTGTCCTCTGTGTGCCACATTTAGACGAGCAGTTGTTGTCTGTTGCCTGTCAGTGTCGTTGGAGTGGTCCACTCTAATGTGCTTGTGTGTGTGTGCCATCGATATCAAACCCCCCTTTTCTACCCTCTCTCTCTTTTTCGAAACCACAGATGCACCTCGATGAACGTGATGCGGGACAACTACTCGATGGGCGGCAGTGTGAGCGGCGTGCGTCCGCCCAGCATTCTTCTGTCGGATGTCTCGCCCACGCCCCTGCCACGCCCACCGCTCGCCTCCATTTCGCAGCTGCAGGAAATGAGTGCGGTTACCGGGAATGGCAGTGCGAATCCATCGGCGAATGCGAATGCCAGCAGCAATGGCGCCATCAACAACAACAACAACAGCAGCAATCACAATGGCAACGGCACGGTAAACGGAAGTGGTGGTAATGGCGGCGCCGGAAACGGAAGTGGAAGTGGAGCAGCCGGAAATGCACGCACACTGCCCGTGATCAATCGCATTAACTCACGGTCGGTGAGCCAGGATTCGGTGTACACGATACTCATCCGCCTGCCATCCGATGGGGCATCCAGTAATGCGGCCAATGGGGGAGGAGGAGGTGCTAATGCAGCGGGAGGAGGAGGAGCAGCTGGAGGAGGAGCCGCTTCGACAACCTTGAGCCTGCAAGGCGACTGTGCGCCCTCCATCAAGATGATACACGAGGATGGGCCAACAACGACGACGGCAGCTGCAACACCTTCGGTGGCCACCCGGCGACCTTTGCCCTCGCGCGACTCCGAGTTCAGCCTGCCACTCGGCCGGCGGATGTCGCATGCCCAGCACGATGCCAGGCTACTCAACGCCAAGGTCATACCCAAGCAGCTGGGCGGAAAGGGCGGGGCCGGGGCAGTGGGTGGCGGCGTGGGCGGGGCCCATGCCCTGATGAACGCCCGCAATGCGGCCAAGAAGAAAAAGAAATCGCAGGAGAAGCGGCAGGAGTCGAAGGCGGCCAAGACGCTGTCGGCCATCCTGCTGAGCTTCATCATCACGTGGACGCCGTACAACATCCTGGTGCTCATCAAGCCACTCACCACCTGCTCCGACTGCATTCCCGCGGAGCTGTGGGACTTCTTCTACGCCCTGTGCTACATCAACTCGACGATCAACCCGATGTGCTATGCCCTGTGCAACGCCACCTTCCGGCGGACCTACGTCCGCATCCTCACCTGCAAGTGGCACACCCGCAATCGCGAGGGCATGGTGCGCGGCGTCTACAATTAGATAATTCGTATTTAATCAACCCACTAAGAAAAGAAGAGAAAAGAAAAGAAAGGGGGAGGTGTTAACTTCTACTAGTTGCAATAAGTGTTGTGTGCTACAGTTTTGTTCGGGAGGCAGTAAAACCAAAACTAGGCTTAGTGATTACCCATTGACAAGCAGTACTGATTTTTTGATGTCTAGCCCCCGACTATATACACGCATTACCAATTCCGCGAGGGTTGCCATATATATATATATATTTGCCAGAACTGAGGTTCTTAGATAGTTTAAAGGTTCTTTCTAAGTAAAATGTCAGGTTTCTAGAATTATTTCTTCCAAAATCAAGTCAGATCACCACTGCGTTCCTGAGATGATCTCAGATCAACTTACTTTTTCGGAGTACGATAAAACGTTCAAGTTCTCAATTCCAAGGCAACCAACCAACTGCTTCCAAGTACGCCAAAGATCTCATTTAGTAATCTTTAGACATAATTCCCGAGGCAACCCTCCGCAGCACCTGGAGAAAAGATCCCGAGCGATCCCGAGCGAGAGATTCCATTTTGTTAGGCGTTTACGTACTGTTAGGTAGGCACATGCTCGATGCAAGAAGAATTTAATACAAATATAATGGATTACGATTTGCAATTCATACACATACACATATATAAGGATATATATATTTATTATTATACACATGGCAAATGAGTTAGCTTAAGTTGTTCGAACGGCGAAGGGCAGAGAGGCAGTAACCCAAAAAGCTTTAATACAAGTTCAAAGTAGGAAGGATTAGGTTCCGCAGGCAACGAATGGCGGTTGCATCTTGGCCAACCAATGGAAACGTTATGTTCTCGTTCCGATTTCGTTGTGTAGGTTGGGGGGATATGATATGATAATGATAATGATATGTATTTAATCGTAGGGGGAATATTGTGATTGTACTGCTCGTTTTCGATAGTTTGAATCAGTTTTTTTTTTTTTTGTACATGTGCGTAGAAACCAAAAAGTAAACAAACAAATGAAACCAAACCAAAAACCGTGCAAATCAATTTGTAGCCACATACCTGCTAATATATCTGAATATGTATGTATAAAATTACGATTATTTGTATGTATTAAGAACGCAACCCACCATGGTTCAACAACTAAGAACAAACCTTTTGTAACTGACGAGGAAGCCATCCCAAAAACAATGAGGGGACTGGTATGATCTATGTAAAGCCAAGAGTAACCACAGTAACGCAAGCAATATGTTTGGGGCGACTGTCGAAGAGATGGCCCAGTTGGGGGAGGATCAAGGAGATGGGGCGGGGATCAGGAATCAGGATCACTAGACGGAATAGTATTTAAATAACCCAAACACTAGGTTGTGCTGACAGTGGCCAATCCATCGACTGGCGGACCATCTCTTTGGACACCATCCTCGAATCGTACCGCAACTCATAGCTATTAAACCAAATGCTTCTCCGAAGTGCACCAATTCCAGTAACTAATTAATAGTACATTGTAAACCGCAAGCATATTTAAAGCATATGAGAGAGTAAAATACATACAGTGTAAGCAAACGAGACATCCAGGTACTACGATATATGACATATATTCGATGCGATCGGGGGGAGCGAACATTTTTAATAAGTGTGTAGGTAAAACTATTAAATATTAACAAATTGTTGGCCCCCGTTTGGCCAATTCAAATGGAACCGAAAACGGGGGCCTTGACGCGAATGCGAATGCGAATCAAGCCGAAATCAAAGCGACATTTGTAGTGTCTGTGACACAAAACGCATATTTATACCTAAACGATACGATATATACAAGTACATATATATGAATACGACGTTTAATATGAAGTAAAGAAAAGTAAAAACCAAAACAAGAAGACAAACCAAACAACCAACCAACAGACCCAAAAGACATGATTTACAACCACGCACACACATCCTAATGAAGCATATAGTACTGCAAACAATATATATCCGACTAAACGCCAATTCGCGAGTCGAGCAAACCAATCCAAAATACCTACATACATATAGCCTTTAGACGTACAGTTGCGGTCAAAATAATAGTAGTGCCGTTCGCGCACAGAGTTTTTTCTAAATATTTTCTCTATTTCTTCACGTATCCAACTCATTCTTTCTCAAAAGTAACTGTAATTATCCTCTCTTTAAAAATGTGCAGTTATGTTAGGATCTCGTCTCTCTTTGTATTCCCTTTCGCCTTTTATTGCAAAGATGCACGTGTTGGGGTCAGTCAAAATAATAGTAGTGCCAGAGAAATTAGCAAGAATAATTAAATTTACTTCTTTTTAAACAAGGTTTGTGTTATTAAACAATACGTTTGGATGTTATTTATTAGTCCCTAGCATTTTTAGATCCCTGCTCAACACTTAGTCCTGGCTACATGGGGCGTGGCAAACACTGTACTGCCGAGAGGCGAGATCTAATTAAAAAATTGATTTCTGATGGAAAGACTTATGTAGAAGTGCAAAATATTATAGGCTGCTCCTCTACAATGGTTAGAAATGCTATTAAACATGAGCCAGCAAATGAAACGCGTGGGCGCCCAAAGATATTGGACAAAAGATCAGTGGATCGCTTGGCCAGACAGTCAAGGATCGAGCCATTCGCGTCCGCTGCATCACTAAAAAAACGTTGTGACTTAAATGTTAGTTTGGAAACAATAAGAAGGAGGCTTAGAGATAATAACCTCATTTCAAGAAGTCCAAGAAAAGTACCGTTACTCACAAAAAAACATGCCGCCAAACGCTTGAAGTTTGCAAGAGAACACTTGACTTGGCCCTTGGAGAAGTGGAGGAATATTTTGTGGTCGGATGAGTCAAAAATAGTTAAGTTTGGAGGCCGTGGCTCTCGGCAGTTTGTTAGACGACCACCCTTATGCGCTTTTACTCCAAAGTATACCTTAAAAACGGTAAAGCACGGTGGATCATCAATTATGATTTGGGCGAGTTTTTCATATTATGGAGTAGGCCCTATATATTGGGTCAAAACCATAATGGACCGTTATCTATACGTCAGTATTTTGAACGACGTGATGCTCCCATATGCCTCTGAGGACATGCCTCTTATTTGGACGTTCCAACAGGACAACGATCCGAAGCACACCAGCAAACTTGCTAAAGAGTGGTTCGCAGCCAATGAAGTCGATGTCATGGAGTGGCCCGCACAGTCACCCGATCTCAATCCAATTGAGAATTTGTGGTGTGACGTGAAAAGAGCAGTCTCGGAATTAAAACCAAGCAATAACTTTCAACTTTGGGAAGCTGTACAAAGATCTTGGAGCTCTATTCCTCTAGAGAGATGCCAAAATTTAGTTAATTCCATGCATAAGCGCTGTGCGTCTGTTATTGCAAACAAAGGATATGCCACCAAATACTAAAATAAACCTTAAATATAGGTCTAATATATACATTTAAATATTCAATCTTAAAACGTTTTTTTTGGCTGTGAAATTTTTTGGAACTTTTCACTACTATTATTTTGACCAAACAAAATTTTGTAAAATTACACATTTTTATTTTTTTCTGAAAATTTGTATGAGTTATCCTAAGTTGTTGTTTATTATTATTACCTTTAAACAGTTGAGTTTCAATGGAAATTTAAAAAAAATTGTTAAAACGTTTTTAAAGTTACTTTTTGGGGTTTCAAGAAATCGTCTGTGGGCACTACTATTATTTTGACCGCAGCTGTACATACCTACATATATATATAATCTCGGCCCAAGCCGGACACTCGATTACAAATAGATCACGTTTTTGACTACCAGCGAAAAGGTTTGACATATAGGATTACTGATCACTGATCACACAGCTAGAACAGATGGACAGCATTTTGATGAAGAGAGCAGATTTAATTGCATACAATCTAATTGTTTGGAAATATACTACGATATATAGTAATACATATATAATTTAAAGCTAACAATAAAAAATGTGAATGAAAAAGAAGTATCTATTTAGTTCTTTTCGGGAGGGTTTTCCTGCTCCTCTTTTTCCTCTGGGTTTTCCTCCCCTTCCTTTTCCTCTGGGTTTTCCCCATGACTCCTCATCAGCATCTGGGCATTCTTCTGTATGATCTCCAGCTTCTGCTGCATCAGCTCCTGACGCCTTTGCTCCGCCTTTTGCTGCTTGTCCTCCAGTTCCTCCAAAGTTGGTGGCTCCGAGCTGGCTGCCTCCTGCATCAACTGCTGAATCCTCTTCGGCGGCTGTCGCAGGGTCTCATTTAGCGGGATCTCCGGACTCTCATCGGTATCTAGGGGAATGGTAAAGGCCTCCGAGGCGGCTGGAAAATAAGGTCTTATAATACCCATTGAGTGGCTTAATTTCCCAACTCACGGTACTCCATTTTGGTTTTATTGGACCTGGCTGAAACAGGCTTTGGTGACTTGGTGTCGTCTACGGTGGCGGTGTTTCTGGAACTGGAACCGGAGCAGCCCATGCTACGTCGCAACCATTCAGGCGCAAGGCATTACGCCTAAGACTTCCGTTTTAGTGCTACCTTCACCTTCAACTTAACCTTTGCCTTTACCGTTTCCGTTCGGCGGGAAGATGGCTGAAAACGATGCTGATGTGATTTCCTGCTGCAGCCGCTTGGTTAGAGCCAACATTCAATTTCCGCTGTCGCTCAGCTCATTAAACTACGGGCGACTGCAGCTGAGGCCAGGTTTAATGGCTCATTAGTATTGATTTTCTTGGGATTTTTTCAAAGGTATCCGCCAGCCCTTCAGGACCAGGACACACGGCCGTTTGTGGGGACAACGCGCTGGCAACTGACTGGCCGGGAAATTGCAATGCAAAGTTTTCCGCGCGCGTGACCATTATTAATAATCGTCGGTCTGGCCAGGACAGCGGGCCAGGATCAATATTCACATGAGCTTTGCGTGGGTGCGGTTAATAACGATAGGATGGCCAGGACAAACACAGACACATGAGGCCCGCCAACCTGGCCCACAGAATGTCAATCAACTCCCCGTTGGCCATAATCAACGCTAATTGCGGTTTCGTTCGCAAACACCGTCGATATCCGAGTCTGAGTTTAGTGACCCACTCAACTTTGACCGGGCCAAGACAACTAGTGGGATGGCTGGTTGGACAAGCTTTAGCCTTTGATTTCTGTCTCCGCCGTCAACACTTGGCCATAAAAGCCCACATGGCCCAAACAACTAACGGCTTCCGGCTGAAGACCCAGTCAAAGTCGAAGTCGAAGACCGAAACCCACGGAAACCGCGGCGCGTGCCAATCCACCGCCCAGCTAGTCCACACTTGACCAACGCACAGTGGCTGTACTTAAAATAAATTTTAATGCAAATAAATTTGTATAAAAACAAGAATCATTTCTAGAAAATAAACATAAAAAATCAAAAAAATTATATTAGTTTTTTAAAAAAGTATTCCTTTAAAAAAGAGTTATGTTAAAGTATAAATCCAATACTTTAAAAGGATGTTAAATTTTCTTAAGAAAAAATATTGATAGGAAACCAGGTTTAAGAAATCAGTGTCCAAAATAATTCATTTCTCCTTTGAAAGTAATTATTTTAATAAGAAATAAAAGAAAATATATCCATTGTACTTATGGGCTGGCAAGTGGTAACTATTAGTATGTGCCACACGTTGCGCCTTTTGTGGCCTTTTGTGGGTCTCCTGCATGCAAAGTGCCTCCGCCGAAGCGGAAGTACTCCTCCACCTCCGCCTGCACCTGAAAAGATCAATGGGAAGACGAGGCCCTCCTTAGCCCCAATCGAGGGCCATAAGCGGTAACAGGTGCTAGACGGCGAGTACGACTACCTGGGCGATGAGCGAGTAATGAGCGACGTTTAATTAGGTTAAGTGTCAATAAGATTATGTCGTCTATCAATCAATTGCACAATACCCACCACGGACACATCCATCAAGCGGCTAAATACCAAAAGGCATTTGTCCGTCGCTCTTTTTGTGAGTGTGCTTAATCCAAGCACTCTCATAGATACACACTACATGTAGTGTATATGCTACAGCAAGTGGATGTCCAATGTTTTTGGGGGTGGGAAATTTGCTGCTCAAGTGTCTTCTCACTTGATTAAACCATAAATTTCTCCGCCGTTGCGATTTTAATTAAAAGGATAATAGAGTAAAACACACTCAACGATTTGGTTTTATGCAAAAAAAGTGGTTTATATGTATTTATGTATTGTATAATAAAACAATATAAACTAGTAACAAAGCAACATGATCTCTGTGATTTAGGAACATCCATATCATCCTTACTTTCCGTTTTCCATTTTCCGTTTCTCATTCAATCATCGATATCAGTTTAATGCCTTTACGTGGTATAACTTGCAAAACTTTTAAAACTTACGTATGTAGATATGCCGCTGGCATCTTGGGTACCAGATCAGGGTTTTCTTTTTTTTTTCTCATCTCTTCTCACTTCTCCTTGTATAGGTATAAAAAATAGTATATATACGGTATAGTAGATATAGTATGACTTAGACTTAGCAGGCGATCGTCATCCCTCACGGATGACGCGAAAACTTTGGATAGACTTTAAGAGAGTAATGGGTAATGGTGTAATGGTAATCTCCTGCTGATGCTGTTTTCATTTTCAGATGGTGTGGGCAAGTGTGGTTAAACGCAGTTCTCAGTAATCTTGGATAAGCAGTGGGTTAATCGTATTCCTGCTTGATGGTCAAGGGTTTCTCGGGAGCACTGGGATCGCTCTTGGAGGCTGGAGTTCCCGAACCAGAAGTTCCTGATCCGGAGGCTGTTAGCTTGTTGCTCTTGATCAGATTGGCCGCCGTGGAGCTGAGTGGTATGGTAACATACTGATTGCCATCTGTAGGGGGAAAATGTAATTAGTTTCAGGGTTTTTAAGTAAGGGATTTTCCCATAGTACTCACCCTCTTCGGCGTGCAGCTGCAAGTGGCCCGACTGTATGAGTTGCCTGAGCATTTTCTGCGGTATGTTGGCAATCGAGGCAGCCGAGTAAACCGCCGGGGTTCCTCCTCCTCCAGCGCCTGTGGACGTCGAGGGTCCGTTGTTAGTCTCAGTCTGATAGTTCAATGCTGGCATGGTTTTGGGGCCAGCAGATGAGGCAGAAGACGGTGCGGACGCAGGAGGCGCTGATAGCTCTGTTTTGCTGGCCGGTTGTGACTTGGCCGCCACCTCGGCAGCCTCCGCTGGCATCTCCACATCCGACGAATCATCCGACTCGTTGCCCGACGAGGTAGGCGATCGGTCATCCTGGAAAGAAAGAGGCAACGACACCCGATTAGTGCTGCAGACAAACAGTCTGGTGGGCTGATCTTAAGACTAAGCCTAGTTGGGATTGGATTGGGATCGGGGATCTCTGGATTGCGCCGGTCTGCTGTTCTATATGCCAGCCAAGTGCAGGGAGCAAAGAGACAACGACGACGACGAGATGACAAAAAAATCCAATATGTTTGAACCAAATATGGCGCGAAATTGCGTATAAGTGCTGGCCAGGCTGTTTGCCGGCACGCATCTCAATGAGCTGGCGTTGCCTTAAATGTGCACACGCGTTAAAGAATTTAGAATATTGATTTCTGACTCGCCGGCCAGCGAGGCGATCGGTTCGGGGGCCTTCGCATCGAATGCCTTGGATGGGATGGCAGCGAACGCGTCATTTTAATTTTGATTAGTGCTGCGACGAACAAAAAATAAATCAAAATAATTGCAAACTGTAACAATGCGATCGCCATTTTGTGCGAGGGAGATCGCAAATTGCATTGCGCATACGCCGCGTGCCCCTGCCACATCATCAGCGGACTTCCAATGAAATTGTAGCAGCCACATCAGCAGCAACCGCAGCAGCAGCAGCATTTCGCGAAAGGCAAAATCGCATTGTTGCCGCTGACTAAAATGGGCGTCGTCATCGTCGACGTCGTCGTCTGCCGGCAACCAAGCCAACTCGACTCGACTTGGCCAGTGGATCAGGCGACCGCCTTTTGAGTGACAGCACCAAGACATTTTAATTAGCAAAGCCAACGACGACAAACTGTCTCCAAGTTGCCATGATATACTTGGCCAGCATGTGCATGTGCAACTGTTGTTACGCTCGCGGTTTTCTGTAGCAGCCAGCAGATGCGAACAAAAAAAAAAAAAAAAAAACTGGTGAAAAACCCGCAGGCAGCTGAAAGTGGAGCTGCTCATGTAAAGGTTACATTGTGCCCAAGCTTGCATTTTAAACGCACACATATAAGGCGGGAAGCAATCCTGATTATAGCCCTGATATCGCTCAATAAAAATCAAATTATATGTTCGCCTGTTCTTCCCACTTATCTAATCGTTTCTGTGTTGACGAAACTTAATTTACAGACCTCCCAGAGCGATAGCGATTTCACTGTGGTAATTGCACAATTAAAATTCGCCACACAGAAGTAATAAATAAAAGTTTTATTAACCAAAAACATTAAGGAAGCTATTTAATTAATAAAAAAAAATAAAGTATTGAAGCGCCCCCGGGTGGACTCGAACCACCAACCTTTCGGTTAACAGCCGAACGCGCTAACCAATTGCGCCACGGAGGCTATTGAAACTCTCGGGGAAAAAAGGCCCTCAACTGCTCGCTGAGCAAGTATTTCCCCCGACATCATCTTAGGGGTTGGTGTTGGTTCCATTATTAAATGATTTAATCGTTTAGTAGGCATTATATGCCTTATAAATATAAACATGACATAATTGAAGGGGATGATACTATTATAAATTTAAGGTAAATACAATAGGAATGATTATTTTGGCACTTGATTTGTATATGCATTTCTCATAAATGTTCTTTATAATTAATAAATACGTTGCATTTGCCTGGCCACTGCCAAGAAATTTAAGCTATAAATATATACCTATTAAAATCATTCAGAGTCTATTTGGATTATTAAACTGTGAAAATTGAGTTGATTATAAAGCTATAAATTAACAATTACGGATTGAGTAAATTATTAAATTTACGCATTTGCATAAATATAATTGTTTGCATATTTAATGGGACTACTACTTCATCCCATTTCATTTAGTGACTCAGATGATAATCCAAATTGAGAGCCTTGCAGTTTCAATTTGTGCTTCATCAATATCGCATTAAGTTTCCAGAATCGGTGCAGGACGACAAGTTGGGTTTGTCAGCGATTCGAACAGTTTCATCGATGGCTTCGACGGCTGATTCTACCGATTCTGCTGCTTCTGCTTCTGCTGCCAACTGCAACTTGCCAAATTGATAGTCGTGTGTCGTGCGCAAATGCCGAGCGTGTCTCATTAAATGACAATTAGAGTTTGAGCCTGGCTAAAAGCTAAAAGCAAGGCAAAAAACGCAAACAATCGGAGCGAAAAACCCTGCCCCGGCTAAACTGAACTCAACTCTCAACTGGCAATTGGCTGGATGGAATGCCAACTGGCCGGGCCAATGGCATGCAATTTATATAAAAATAATGCCTGGCATTGTCTGGCCGATCTGGCCTCGCCAGTGGTATCGAACTTCGAGGCTTGGAGAGCCTGCGACAAATGCAATTATATAGAAATTTGTCTTGCTGTGATATGTGCGGCATGATGTTGTTGCTGCTGTTGCTTTTGCTGTGTGGCCATCGGTAGCTCCAAAAATAGTCAGTTTGGGAAAGGCTAATAATAAATGTTGGCAATAGTCAGTCAGCGAGTCGTCAAAGCATTGAATGAATGAATTTTCAAATTGGCTAACTGACATTCACAACCAAGGTGGCATTTTATTTGCCCCAAAAGTGAATGCGAGTCAATTCGGCGGCCTGTTGCTGTTGCAGTTGCAACTTTAAAGCTGCAGCCACTGCAGCACTGTGTGGTGTCGTGTGACCTACACCACCGCCAACTGACTGGGTGATTGACGGATGGCACATTTGCCAATTGATTAGTTGTTTTTACCAAAATGGTTGCTGCCACAACAAAAGGCGACAACTTTGTGGCAGTCAGCACCCGCTTCAATCGTTTGAAGCTTAAAAAAAAAAAACACACAGAAAAAAGGAGAAAAAGAACCCATTCTCAGTTTAGCTGGCTCTGAGATCGTTCAGCATTTGGCCAATAAACATTTGCATTTTGCATGTTGCTACTGCTGCGGCTGCTGCTACCGTTGATGCCGTGTACATCTACCGACACTGATAACTTTAAGGCCGAAAACAAAGGAATAGCCAAATGTGCTCTCGACTGAAGCCGAAAGCCAGCGGGCTCCATTGATGCTGGCGCTTTCAATGAAAACATAAAAATAAAAATGCAAATTAAGCCTGGCAAACGAAAGCACTTAAATCTAACGCACAATTGCCCAGGGAACGGGCCAAAAGGATAACAGTGGCGCAAAAGGGTGAGAATACGAGATGAAATGGGTTTTGGGTTGGGAAAGGTCTGTAGGTATTTGTTGCCCAAACATCATTGAGATAGATAAAAACCTATTCTAGTCGCTATAAAAAATGTATACATGTTTATTGGGCCTTGAAAGAGCTTGTAGGAGTGCTTTTCTTTTAAATATTTAACTAGAACTTTGCGCATTGATTGAATTTTAAAAAGGTTCTTTTAAAAATTGTATGTATTAACCATTTTGTTAAGAAAACATTATAGATTGATAATACAAATATAAAAACCAAAGATATTTAAAGTAAAATATTTAATTATTGGAAAAAAAATCCAGTATTTAAATTAAGTCATCTCCCTGAACCACTGTCCCTCGATTTCGTAGGAGGAATCACACAATCACAACCACAGGACAGCGGCGAACATTCTGAACAGGAAACGTTGAGGCAAATGTTATGGGATGGCTGGGCCAACTTTGCTGGCCTGGCTAAGCAAAATGGGGCGGTTTGGCTTGGATGGTGGAAACAAAAGCCGAAAGCTAAGGCCCAACTCAGTTGACACGAAGCGGCAACAAGCGAACAACTAACAACCAAACAGCCAACAACCAAACAGCCAACAACCAACAACCATGAGCAGCAAAAGCTGGAGAAGCGACAACACTGCGTAGACATTTGCCAGCTAAACTCGGAGTCGTCGGAGTTTGGCCATTTGGTCGTCTTCACAATTGTCGTCGCATCCGGGCCAAGCCACAATATGGAGTTTTAAAGCGTTTATATCCGCAAAGCAAGCCAAAGCGAAGCTTTCTTGCCGGCTTTCTGTTTTTGGGCAAATCACAGTTTTGTGTCTTTTTCTCTGATGCGGGTTGCGGTTACACGGATTCACGCGCAAAGAAAGCGGCCAGCAGGAAGTTGGCATCCAACTCGATTCCACTTGGGTCGTCGTGAGTCTAAAGTCTGTCTCAATCGAGTGGCGGGTTCAAATTCATTAGTTCAGAGTCAGACCCACCCAGAGCCGCAAAGCGGCAAATGGGTAATGGGAAACGGGAGCTCTGGAACTCGGGGTCGCGACTCAGTTATGATGGGAATTAGCATCTATTTAAATGTCAGGGCCGCATTAAGATGCCACGATTGGCCGGGAGTACGAGAAACGAGCTTATTGTTTTCAGTTACCAATTATTTGGCCAAATTGCGAGGGGTAACCTGCTACTAATGCACTCGCCAAAAAAGGGTACCCAGACAATATATTTTATTTAATTTAAGGATTATATTTGGTCTGTTCAAAGCTATTTTTTGATATTTAATAAATGTTATTTTGAAATTTTAAATATTTAGACCCCAACTATTTTCAGATCTAAAAGCAGGAAAGAACATATGAGAAATTATTTTTTTCTATTTTTAAAAATATCTAAAATCAATAATGCTCTCTCGAAACTTAAATCAATTAAAATCATCTTTACCCAAACCTTTAAATCTAATAACCTTTTAAGGGCTAGCTAAATTAAAGTCACAAATTAAATGAGAGAATTATTGGACCATTAGATATTTTTAAAATGTTCTTTAATTTTTGGTGATATATTTTCCCATTCAATTTCCGCAGTGCAGCGGCCGAAACGATTGTCCTCAGGCCTAATTATGCGTGCGCCGACAGGCGAACAAGAGGCAACAGGACAGCAGGCTGCAGATAAAACGCCACCGATTAGCCTGTGCCGCTCCCTCTGTCGCAGCCTCCGCTTCTCCCCCAATGCCACATCACCAGGCGCTGGAGGGGAGCTCCTTACCACAATTCAGGCAATTTATGATGGGCACTAACAACCGCAAAACTAGCCACACAAATGAAATGGAGTTGGACACAAACCGGCGGCAAACAAACAGTTGAATGGAAATTGCAATTATACGAATACAAGATCTCAACTCGGCGTA